TAATATTTGACCAAATTTTGCAAGAATCACCAGTTACCATATATATTCCACGATGAGTCCTTCCGGGGACAAAATTTGGAGCATTTTTAGGAGACGAGATATGGAAACCAGAGCTACGTTTTGCGTGTTTGTTAAGTCTTACATGTGTGGCACAATGAGGGTTATCACTTTGTGACATTTAAAATAAAGATCGAATATTGCATCTGCGCAAAATTACGAGCAGTCACAAGTTGAAAACTAGCGACAAAAACAGCGATTGTACTCGCTGAATTTTTGCATGCGTTCTACTTAGTTTCGGGGAGACGAAATTTAAACGCGGGGAGATGGGATTTGGGCCCCTTTACCTTGTGTTTTGTTAATGTAAGAAATGCTATACCTGTCGAGGTAATTCGAGGCAATTAGATAGATTGTTTAAGTTTGTAAACTATAGGTCGTTGCGGAATAATAGCAGACTGGTTCGCTAGTTTGTTTTTTCCTTTTTTCTTTTTTTTTGTTTTTTTAATATTACTCATTAAAAATTTAATCCTTCGCGCTCGAAGTACGCACGAAGCGATAAAAAAAAAAACATTCTATTGGAGAAAAGATTCCTCTTCTATTCTCAAAAAAAAAAATGGAACGTTGTTATATCTACTAATAAAAGATAAGAAAAGAGACTGTTCCAGAAAATTCATAGTGTGGCATATTTACGCATTTTACACATATATGAAACGGCGGCGTTCGTACTTCGAGCGAGTGTGTAATCGCTATTTGACCGCGAGGGATTAAAAAGCTCCTTAACGAAAATCGATTGAAGTCGCGCGATCATCGACACGCTCCTATAAATGATCAAGAATCGATAGATCTTGCGATGACAAATGGACGTTAATCGCAGTTCGGAAAGAACAAAACCTTCTACTTTATTTTCATTCTCCGCCTCTTCGTGATAAATGCTGATGAGCACTGTGATATCGCGTACATAACAATTTTTAATTAATCGCAAACATAAGTATCGTATAATATAGGAACTAATAGTTTTTTGTTCTTTTTTTCTTTTTAAATGAAGACTGAATCTCTCTTGCTATAAACTTTATACATACGTATGAGTTTAAATAAATCTCCTCTCGCCTGAGTATATTTATATACAAACTGTTTACGAGACGAAAAATGCTAATCGTTGTTCATTTAACGTTTTTCGTGTGTGTGATCTTACCGCCGTTCCGAGGACGGTCATCTTCCATTTGTATTGTCGCCACTTTCGTTCGAGTGTGCATTTTCCTCATATCTAATTTTCGTAGTCGTTTATAGCTTCACCGTGATATCGCGGATGTGTAAGAGACTACACATATATTAGAGTTTCAGATTCTTCCCCGCTTCTGTTCAAACTCGTGTGTTCCTTTTTCCCCTCCTATCTCCTGTTGTGAGAACCGTCTTCTCGTGAAAAGTTTATTGAAGAAATGTCCACTTTCTCTCATAAGTCGCTTTTTGCGTGTTTTCTGTAGTAAGACAGCGTTCGAGTCTACGGTTTTTTTTGTTTATTTATTTTTTTTTCCCCCAAGTAATTTTACAGTGACGGATATATATGTACATATATTAAAATACGTGTGTTTAAATTATAAATTTATTTAAAAAATTTAATGTAAAAATTATATGTATTCTACTAAATATATATGTCATTTATAAATTATATTAATTTATTTGAATGAGTCGTGAAAATGTGAGGTAAATTTTTTATTTTAAGACGAGAAAAGAAATTTCTGAACATCTTAAGATCGCCCGGTTGTGTCCGAAGATTAATCTTAAAATGTCGAGAAATAGAGTATGAATGTTCGGTTATAATAATTTTAATAAATATTCTTTTTTTATGCGTGTAACAAAGAGAATATATTTTAAGTGAATATATCAAATATAAAAATCGATCGGTATGTGTGATCGAACAATCCGTCATTGTATAAAAAAAAATTTAAATTTAACGAAATAATATAACAAATCAAATCACAATTAGCCACCTCGCTGTTTTTCGGCTAATTTTCTGTTACTGCTCGCGTTTTTATAAAACTCGCAATATTCTAATGTATATCTAACGCGCAAACTGAACAACACGAGTATCACAACGTAAACTAAAAAAAGAAAAAGTGAGTCATTAAAGATTCAAATAAAAAAAAAAAAAAACAGATCTTACCGCCGCAAGATTTATATAAAAAACAAGATGGCGAAAAGTATGTGCTGAAGATGTAACCTGTTGCTCTCAAAAAAAAAGAAAGAAAACTATTGTGATTATTATCCAGTTTACATTGTCATCATTTGAAGCAGTTGTGTATAGAACTCTGCTTTTTATTTTTTACAAACATGGTCCTTCGACGGGTGGATCCTTCAACAACAGTATGGTATAGCGCGCTAACCAGCACGCGTTTTTAACGCGCTTTTAATTTGCGCCTAAAAGTGGTTGTTTCTACATGTATATCAACACATGTACACCCATACGTGTACGATTCTTTGGCATCACCGATCGGGTATGTCACCATACGAATTGAAAATTTGTAAATTTTAAGTGACCACGTTTAGAGCGCTACTTTGTGCGTTGAAAATGCGCGGTATAATTGTCTCGTTTCGATTCGAATACGTATATATTATTCGACGGAACGACGAATTCGATTACAGAAAAAAAAAAAAAAAATGTACGATCTGTAACGACTCTCTTAATTGCATTGCTTTTCGAATTCGTTGACTCGTACGCGTGTGTGCGTGAGTGCGCGTGTGTATAAATGTATGTGTTACAAAACGGCGAAAGAAAAATCACACAAAAAATCTATGCGATTGCATTCGATATATAATTTTACAAGTGAACATGTATGTTTGCGCAATGTAATAATGGAAAAAGGAACCCTCGCGAGTTCCTCGATACGATGCAAGTTACATTAACGAAAGAGGGGAACTTTTGCGCGTAAGTTCTGATCTTCGCTTTTTTTTTTTTACATATATTATTAATTATTATAATATAGGCGCCGCGTAAAGAATTGCAAATTTGACACGTCACCGTCGCAATGTATCACCGTTCACGTTGTCATTATTATTATTATTATTGTAAGATTCATCCGCACACAAGCAAAAACATGACTCCGATTTTTTTGTTGTTGATGATGTCTTTCGAATATTGCCTTCGAGATCAATCTCACTTCTAAAACAGAACAAAAAACCAATTGTAGCATAATGTTGTGAACGGAAGAATGTTACGTTAGATGCAGCGGAATGTGTGTGGATGACCAAGGACTGTGCGAATAATTTTATTCACGCGCTCAACTTGTGGAAATTGAAGGAAAAGGAACCTGTATTGCGTACCATGACAACATTTTGGATCTTAGCGTGAGATCGTGTTGCGGGGATTGTAAGAGCAATTGCGCGAAAATCGTTGTTTTACAGCGAGACTATATAAATACTTCAATACGCGTCCACAAGTAAACTCAGCGAGAAAATTGCAAGGAGTCTAAATTGTCGCGGGAAACACTCTTGCTTTTTATCACTTGATATAATAATTATTTACAAACATATATGTGATAATAATTGTTTATTTCAAAAGCGTAGAGTAAAACCCTCCACTTGCACAATATATGTCGAGTTACAATATGAACTAAAAAAAACTCAGTTTTGCTGAGTAAAGAGCCGGTTACATTCGTTACAAAATCTAGCCAAATGTGCAATCAAATTTATACGTGCGAAAATTAATTATTATTGTAATTTGTATAGAAATATTGCGCGAATCTTACCGATTCCATCGAGCATTCAGAGATAAATCTTTTATGTGTTTTGATAAAACATCCGCGGCAGAAAAGCGTGTTTCCAAGAAGCGAAACAAAGAGAGAGGGAGAAGGCGAAGAAGCAAGCCATTTTAATTAGTAATATTATTTCGGTTAATTGACACACACTTATAATGAGAAAAGATATTGTGAAAATGGCGCTTATTTGTTCTTATCATGACAATTTCTTAGAATCAAATACACGGCGACAGAGCGGTATATTTAAAACCAAATTACAAAAATTTATGTGTGCAAGTGCGCGAATCGCGTATGTCTGAGGTGTGAATATTTTTTTTTTTTGGAGGTAAGAGAGAATGAATCAATTGTCGTGTACGAATCGCTTAATATCTCTCGATTAAACAAAAAAAAGGATAAAATATAATTAAATGAAAAAATGCGTTTTTGTATTTGTTGCTAATGCGGAAAGAAAAAAAAACAACAATTCTGTTAATGTTCTCGTTATATTCTTATTACATACATTAAACATACATTACATGCGTTGCGAATAAGGATGATTATAAACATTTAAAAAAATTTAAATAATAGCGCGAAACACAAGAGTTTCAAGTCTTGTTATGGACAGTATAAATATTCAGATTCTCTTCTGTAGGTTTCATTAAAGTGCATTTCTTGTATGTTATTACAGTATTATAGTATAGAAACACATAAGAGACAAATAAATAAATTTCAAAAATGTAATGAGTAAAATGCGTTCAGACTTATTTGACTTATTTGACCTCTTTGATAGCGACCTTTTTTTTCCTTGATAAGAGATATCCGAATCTTTTTTTGTTTTTTTTTTTGTTACAAGGTGAACATATTTTATCGTGAAACGTTTAATGTTTTTTTTTTTTGTTTTGTCACTTGGACTGTATTCCAATGTTCAGTGAAGGTGTAATATTTGTCACGTGAACTGTAGATTTCTAATAAAGAGCAATGAATATCGGAACGCGGCCTTAGTCGACAGAGGCGCTGTCAATCTCCATTAGGACGTAAAAAAATATCAATTAGCAGCTGCATATATTAGCCTGAGTTCGGGGAGTGCGCTAGCGCGTCATTCTATCTTTGTTTTGCACATAATGAGAGATAAAGATAGAATGTTGCGCCAAACACAGAGCGCAGATTGCGCGCTCTCCTAAGACGCAGGCGAAGACGGATTGATTATTTTCGCGAGTAATTTCATGTGTAACAGCCTTTATCACTCTCGACTGCATTCGCGAGTGGTGCAGAGTCCATCTTGGCTCGTCTCAACGGCCATCTTATCATTTGAAATTTTATCAGCCGGCAATTACGTCGTACGTCAGCGTTTTTTTCCACTTCTGATTGGTCGTGATTCAGCAGTTCAAGTTTAGCGATTTCTTGCATAATCGGTTTTGATCGTACAGGTTGTCGAGAACCGTCGTAGCATTCGGTCGGTGTTGATCAATCGAAAACGCTTGCAAACATGACGATCAAGGCGGTTTGTGTTCTTCAAGGCGAGCCTGTCAAGGGAACTATTCACTTCGAGCAAGCGGTAACTAATTCATGTCTACTTTTGTTCGCATCCTCGATTAAAAATTGTTACGCATCACGAAAGTTATCGAATCATTAAACTTTTGTATCTTTTTCTTTGTTATTTTTTTTACTTCTCCGATCATTGCACATTTGAAATATTGCACATTCTTGTTTTTTCAAATGTGTTGTTTCTTTTTTCTGCTAACATAATTATAATAAACAATTTGTTTTTTTCCTATAAAAAGTTCTAATCATCATGAGCTTTAATTATTTGTAACTATTAAACTTCTCAACCATTTTTAAACAATTAACAGCTCGTTAAGTTTTTTTTATATGTAATAAACTTGATTTGCACACACAGGAAGATTCAAATGCGGTAAAAGTAACGGGAGAGATTTCTGGCTTGCAAAAAGGATTGCATGGTTTTCATGTTCACGAATTTGGCGATAACACCAACGGTATGTGTGTTTTTGATCAAATTACATTTGTACATATCATTATCATATTTTTTTTCATAATAAGGTCGAAAGGTTTCCAGACAGTATGTACTGTTGATAACACAGACAGAAGCTGATATTTGGAATATCACAGTATTGTCTTTTTTTTTGTTTTTATATAATTCTATATAAATTCTTAAATCCTGCTTGTAAATGTGTTTCATTGTACGAAATATTTTCTGAGCTCGTGTGATATTGGATTTAAAAGATATAGAAAAGTATTTCAAATTACACTTTTACATATTGTTGGATGTGGTTTTGCAGGATGTACAAGTGCAGGCGCTCATTTCAATCCACTGGGAAAGGAACACGGTGGTCCCACTCACTCTGTGCGTCATGTTGGAGATTTAGGAAACGTGGAAGCTAATGCTGACGGCGTTGCAAAGGTCAACATTACTGATTCTGCAATTCAGTTGAAGGGAGCGCACAGCGTCATTGGACGAACTCTTGTGGTATGTATTAAGTTGTACTTGTCACACAGATTGTCACAAATTATAAACCAATATTTATCAATATTATGTTTTTATATTTAAAACTTTATGAAACTATATTTGCTTTTATGATGAGCATTTTTTTTCTTGTTTATTTTCCAGGTTCATGCTGATCCCGACGATCTGGGCCAAGGTGGTCACGAGCTCTCAAAAACAACTGGTAACGCTGGCGCTCGTCTGGCTTGTGGCGTTATCGGTATCACGAAGTAAACTCGACAGTTCGAAAAGTTAATGGTTAAGGGATAAACACATACCTACTATTTTCTTATCATTCAGTTTTTTTTGCGTATACATAGTTACACTGTACGCAATAATTGCTTTCCTATCAAGTGCGATAGAAATCGATTTTGAATGTGATAATTCTTTCTGAAGATGCAAAAGCATCAGAATTCAAAGTTGTAATAAAAGCGTTAAATAAACAGAATTATACGCAGTATAGAATGTTGTATGGAATAAGTTTTTCTACAATTGATAAATCTACAAATGCACGTTGAGTGTAGGTTCTCTTGACGATATTCTATGTTTCTCTCGTTCGATGTACGATATATAGTTTTAATTATAATAAGTTGCGAGTGCGCGGAAATTATATTTGAGATTAGCATTTATCGAACATCGCGGCCTCAATTTATTTCTTATCTGATCTTATCTTTGCATCAATGATAAAAAAAAAAACCCTCGAATTCTTGTCGATCAATGACGCATTTTTTTAAATTACGTCGCGGACAACAGGTCGATGTGTCGATTTTGGCAGTTGATGCGCGAGTCGCGAGATTTACGAAAATATGGCAGCGACAAACCGGGAAGACGGGCCGAGAATCAGTTTCTTCGGTAACGAGTACGATGGTAGCAGTTCCGAGTTCGATGAGACCGACGATGAAGAGTGTGTATATTTGTGCTTCGATTTGTCGCAATTATTTCGACCGTGTATTTTTTTTTCTTTTTTTAAGAATTGCCAAACCTTTTTTTTCAGCTCGGAAAAAAACGTTCCACCGTGGGACACGTTCAAAAGTTTTCCGCCTCAATCGGAGAGCGGATCTATGCAGAGCAACAACAAGTGTCTGGAAGTCACCGTTCAGATCATAAAAATAATCGTTTACGGATTGCTGTTTGTTATCGTTTTGTGTAGCGCTATTGCATCTAAAGCAGCTATTCTCTTTGCGACGTCGCAATTGTACGACGGCAAATCGTCAAAGACTTACGATATGTACTCTTGCAGTTTGAACGGTAAAAATGTTTTACAAAATATGCGACAGCGCATAGATATTTGCGATTGCATAGATATTGCGGTAGATATTTACGATTCAGATTTCGAAAAAAAAGAAAACCATCTTTGATCGAATTGATGACTAACACCGAAAGAGATGATGACATCATGCGGGACATCGTCTTGATCGTTAATTTTTATCGCATTTAATCGCAACTAACTTTTTAGATTCGAAACTGCCCGGCAAATTTTTAGCCGAACATACGCAGGACGGCCGAATAAAATGGACGTGGTGCTTAATCTTCATATTTCTCGTGCCGGAGTGTATCGGCGTGTTAAACACAATGTGGAACTATTTCAAAAGAAAAGTTAGGACGCCGAAGATATCAACAATCCTGTTCGTGATCGTGATAGAAACGCTCCACACGATCGGTTTGGTGTTGCTGACGTTTGTCATTCTGCCGCAGATGAATGCGGTGCAGGGCGCCGTTACTTTTTCTTGCCTATGTTCCGTACCGGGATTGTTAAGTGAGTTTGCGCATAGTAATAAAAAAAAAAAAACAATGATTATTTCTCTCGTGGCTTTTGCCAATTTGTTAACTATTGCGTTATTAACAACAGATCTGCTTTTTCGACACAACAAGAATCAAAATTTGTCATTGAGCAAATGTGCGTTGTTTAAAATTTTCGATACGCTGGCACTGGTCGCGCAAATCAGCGGATTGATATTGTGGCCGTTGATCGATGACGGTCACGCCGAATCAAGTTCGAAATGGATATTTCCCATCGCGCTTTTATTGTGCTCGATTCGCTGGTGGAGCAACTTCGTGTCACCCCACAGCTACGTAGGTACGTACGAGAAAATTGCATAACAAATAGATCGCTTTTGCACAAGGAACAAATCTCGCGAAGACAACGGGGTTGAATACAAATTTCGTATAATTGCGGAACCTCTATCGTATGTATTTGTTTCAAATTGATTACAAGATGAAAAAATTTGAAATAGGTCTGATGAGGTTTTTGTTACGCGTGAAAGAGGATCTTCATCCGGGCCAGCATATTATACAAGGATACATGTCTCTCTTGAGGATGTTTGTTTTCATTACCGGTGCTCTCATTGTCAGCGTGTGTAAAGGAATCGACGCCGGACAATTTTTTTCACCCAGTTTCGCCGGAACGTATACGATCAATCTAATTCTAGAGAATAGAACACAATACGCATCTGATCGTCATGTTGTCGATTACTTCGATGACACTGAACTTCCAAGAAGCTTGAACTCCCTCGTGCCTTTATTTGTCTTCGTCATTCAAGCTGTTTGCGCCATGATAACGTATCAATCTTGTAAGGGATTAGTTATTCAAGTAACTAATTTATTTATTCAGTATATATTTTGACTCGTTAAATGTTATAGTTTTAATTTTGCACTTCTCTTCTCGCCGCGTCTGATTATCATCATTCATTTTTTTTATTTCTTGAAAATAATCGATTTCAGGTAAATTTGCCTATAGAACTCACATGCATCAGTTCGGTTTCGCATTTCCGACAAATCTAGCTGCTATAGGAACAATGTGTTTCGTCATGGCGATGTGTGCTGACGTTTGCATCTTTCAATCCATCATGAAAGATAATTACATCTTCTTCAACGAATTTTTATTCGGAACTTGGGAAGAGTTTTTTTCTTATTGGTGGTGGCTGTTATGGCTAACGTGGCCGATGTCGCAGATGTGGATCACAATGCACCTGTGGACCATCGAGAACGAAAGACTGGCGTCCGCGGAAAGAATCTTCGCCATTGCCACTTACGATTCACTCATGATCGACCAATGTTTAGCGTTGAATAGAAGAACGCGGAATGAAAATATTGACGAGGACGACGAGAACGAAGATACAAACAAAGAAGTTCCGGTGAGAAGTTAACGCAATTGATTTGACCCGTAGCTTGATTTCTCATTACGTTATAGCGCGTTTTCAATTAAAAAGTTTCAGAACGGCGGTCTCACGTACATTGATCCCAACGATATCGGTTTGGATGGTATGTCGGACAGAATCGAAGACTTTAACAAAGACTATTCGGATACGGCGGTTAAAAAACGCAAAGATCGAGTAACGAAAATTTACGCGTGTGCCACGATGTGGCACGAAGAGAAGAACGAGATGAATCAACTGGTGCGCAGTATTCTGCGATTGGACAAGAACCAGTGTGCGATACATAGCACGCAGAAACATTATAAAGTTCACATGAAGGATTATTACGAACTAGAAAGTAAGTTGTTCATCGCAAAGTAGTTATAGTTAAGAAATATGTGTTACACAATAACATAACTAGCTATTAAATTTCATCTCTTTTATATATGCACACGTGTTTATTTGTTATCAGCTCACATTTTCTTTGACGATGCGTTTTGTTGCATGCACGGATGCATCGGTTTGTGCAATCACGACGAGAACGAAACCCAAGTCAATCATTACGTGATCACGCTGGTGGAGACGATCGAAAGAAACGTGGAGAACTTGTTTATGCGCTTTTTACCGCCCACGAAATATCCGACGCCTTACGGCGGTCGTCTCGTGTGGACGTTGCCGGGAAAGAATCAACTGATGGTCCACCTGAAGGACAAGAATAAAATCAGGCACAGAAAACGATGGAGTCAGGTAATGTACATGTATTATCTTCTGGGATACTGTCTGTTGGGATTGCCGATAGACGTTGATCGGAAGGAAATCATCGCCGAGAACACGTACATTCTCACGCTGGACGGGGATATTGATTTTCAACCGGATGCCGTCAAGGTCCTGGTGGATCTGATGAAAAAAGACAGAGATCTAGGTGCCGCATGCGGACGAATACATCCAGTCGGATCTGGTACACTATGCGAGATGAGATAAATTAAATAAATGTATTTTAGATATATAATAACCTGAGTCGTTGATGATTTGACACGCAGGTCCAATGGTCTGGTTCCAAAAATTCGAATACGCAATTGGTCATTGGCTGCAAAAATCCACGGAACACACGATCGGTTGCGTTCTATGTAGTCCTGGTTGTTTCTCTCTTTTCCGCGCAAAAGCATTGATGCAACACAACGTGATGGCAAAGTACGCCACCAAATCAACCGATGCCAGACACTATATCCAGTACGACCAAGGTGAAGATCGATGGCTCTGCACGTTACTCCTTCAAGTAGGGTCTCGGGTAAGTAAATAATTTTAAGTGATTGTGTTTTTGTATGTTCCAACTCAGAACAAGAAGGTTTATTAGGTCGAATATTCGGCGGCGAGTGACGCGTACACTCACGCGCCAGAACTCTTCAGAGAGTTCTACATACAACGTCGTAGATGGATACCGTCCACCGTGGCGAATATATTTGACCTGCTTATGACTTCCAAAGAAACGAGAAGGGTGAATAACGACATCTCGTTTCTGTATATCGCCTATCAGTGGATCCTAATGGGTATGGCATTTGACACAATATATAAATTTTCAACCGAATATATTTTCTTTGTAAATCTATTGCCACTTTACTCTTTGGTTTGGTTGAAGGAAGCACAATCTTGGGACCAGGTACAATATTTTTAATGTTGGTTGGTGCGTTTGTCGCCGCGTTTCATATCGACAATTGGACCAGTTTTTGGTACAATTTGATCCCGATTGTCGTGTTCGTTGGAGTTTGTTTTTATTGCAAAGAGCGCACGCAGGTACTTGCTTAATAACTTTGCCTCAACAAGTTTGAAACAATTTTTTATCAATTTAATTTCTAATTCTCGGTGCTATTTATCTCTACTGATTATTGATGTAATTGAACAGTTATTGGTAGCTGAAATCATTAGCGTCATATATGGGCTGGTAATGGTTATCGTCCTGATGGGAATTATGCTTCAAATTGCCGAAGATGGATGGCTTGCTCCCAGCAGTCTTCTTTTCTTCATCGTTGCGATTCAACTAACCGTAGCTGGTCTGTTTCACCCCCAAGAAGTGTCTTGTTTGTTGTGCGGCATTATTTATTACATCACCGTACCGTCCATGTACATGCTGTTGATCATTTTTTCTGTTTTCAATGTGCATAACGTTACATGGGGCACGCGAGATTTGAAGAAGCCGCCGAATGTCGTGAGTATTCATTAATTATGAGTTGTGAATTTAGTTCGATAAAAACTCAAAACTTTTCTTTTTGATGAAAACTATTTTATAAATAATCACATATTTACACACACACACAAAAAAACGAAGAAACCTCAAGACGAGCACAGTCCTTCGGCGATTGACAATCTAACCGGGTTCATGACAAGAAAGGAAAATAGGCAAGAAGATAAGAATCAGAAAGGTTCCTTCGAAATTTCGTTGGGTGATCTCTTCAAATGCAGTTGCTGCATTCACACGGGAATGAGTTACGAAGAAAAACGACTGTGCGAAATTGATCAATCCTTGCAACAAATAAACAAACGTTTAGAGTTACTGGACAGGTTCGAAGAAGTCATTGTTACTATAAGTCGTTTAAAATTATTTGTTTGTTCGAATTTTGTTAAGATGTATAAAAAAAACATTTTTCTATTAATTTCTAGTTTTATCACAATTGTCCAACTGTATTCTTATAAATAATTTATATTTTGTATCGCCTCTTTTCTAACGTCGACGCAATTTTATTAGCAATTACAGGCTACACACAACAAACACGGATGCTGACATTGGTCAATCGTCTTCCAACGCCAATATATACTCGAGATCGTATTTTCCAATGCAAGAGAATGAGGAAGAAGAGTTGCAACATATAAACGATAAGAACGATCCTGAGAACAGGAGTTACAAAGATTTCGACGACGACGAAAGCGACGTTCTGACACAAGTGTCGGCGACTTCGAGTCAAGAAGCACGTTCGAACTTTCTCATCAGTCCTTACTGGCTTCAGGACGAAAGATTACGACGAGGCGAGGTGGATTTTCTGTCGAATTCCGAGGAAGAATTTTGGAATTATCTGATCGGAAAATATTTGCGACCGATCGAAACCGACGAGGAGAGTCAGGTGAATTCGAGTTTTTCCTCGAAAACAAATAAGAACAACGGATAAGTTATAAAAAAATAATAAAAACAAAATGTATTATATTTTATTATAAAATTAATTATCATAAATTTATTTTTTAGAACAAAATAACTCAGGAACTGATAAACTCCCGCGACGCGTATTTATTGAAGTTCTTTATGATAAACGCTCTGTTCGTGTTGATCGTGTTTCTTATGCAGTTGAACAAAAACGTATTGCATTTACAATGGCCGCTAAGCGTCAAGTACAATGTCACGTATCTCAAATATGACACGGGAAAAGAGGAAGTGAGTGAAATTTACTTTTGTGCGCGTGGATGTGCGTGCGTAATTAAATCACACACACGATAAAATCTAATAACCGATAATATAAGGCGTTTCATTTGCGATGTGATGTGACATGCACTAACGAATGAATTTCGACAGGTACATTTGACGAAAGAATATTTAAGACTCGAGCCGATTGGATGTCTGTTTATCGCCGCGTTCATTAGCATATTAGGCGTGCAGTTTGTCGCCATGCTAATTCATCGTTTTGACACATTCTCTCATGTACTTGCCACCACGAAACTTCCTTTCTGCAAGGTAATATATAACGTTTAAAATATTTTAGCTCATTTTTTTTCTATGAACAGACACGTCAAACAACAACACTTGAAAAAAATTGCAATTTCACTTGCAATTAATTTGTAAATATTTTCTCACTCGTGTTTTCACACAGAAAATGACGGAAGAGGACATCGCTTTTGAAAAACACGCTGATACGATAGCACAAGCGCTTCAACGCACAGCGGAGGACGACATACTTTTGGAGCTACGAAGAAGCACCATGACCGCTCCCGGTAGGCGAAAGACTGTGCACGAACTATCGGATAATTCACGAAGACCATTTAGGATGTTTGGAAATTTCGAGAAACTGTTTCGGAAGAAACTTCGTGATCCAAAAGCCTCCGGTATTTAACTTCTGTTAATTACATATAATTGTTTATATAACATTAATCGTTATATAAATTTTTATATTATCTGATAATTACTTCTATATTTCGAAGGTTTGACACGGCATATGTTCTCGCGAATGTCGAGAAATACATTTGACGCTTTCGAGCGAAGACGATCGACAATTTTGGAAAACAGAAGATCACAGTCTCAGAGACCGTCCTACGTTTACGACAGCGCTGATAATTTGAGATCTACAAACGATCCAATCTTTCATCCGAACTCAGAACAAATGAATTCAACTCGATTTCATTATGACAATCCAGCATTCAGACAAGATGAGAATGTATGAGATACTGAAGACGACGCTCGATCAAACATTTACGTCTATTCAAGTCTCCTATATTTCTTACAACTAGTAGAATTAGTATAATTTGCGTTAGAAAATTTGTATTTAATACACAAAGTAGTTGTATAAAATATAAATGACGAGTTTATATTTGATTAAAAATAAATAACATTTAACTGAAGATTTTTCTCTCTTTCATGTTGTAAGAAATCACTTTCTGTGATATTTTTATATAAATTTTACTGACAACTTTAATCGTTACTTTCTTTATAATTGACTTTAAAATAGTTTTTTACAGTTTTTGTTTTATATATAGAAGGTTTTTTCCAAAATAAATTTAAAACAAATTAAAAGAAATTCAAAGTTTTATATGTATACTTCCCCGATAACATTAACGCCTCTTGCAACTTCTATGTTCGCGAGATCCCGACGATTTTCCACCTTTCGGACTTGGAGGGATTACAATTTGACCCGCTGCGATTTCTTCCCGATCGGTGGAGTTCTCGATCTGTTTTTGCGCGTCCAGGAAAAACATGAGATCGCGAATCTGTTCTTTCAAATCAGCAATCTCCGTTTCTTTGGCTGTCTTTAATTCGGACAATTCGTCTTGTAACTTCTTATATTTCGCTTGCCACAAGACCTGATTTGATTGCAAAGCTTTTCTCAGATCTTTCTCTTCCGTCAATTCCGCCTGTATTTGCGCCAATTTGTTGTTGGAGTGCTGCAGACGTTTCTCCAGCGTTTGCTTTTCACGACTAAGCGTCGTGAATTGTTTCTGACAAAATACAAATGGTTTCCTTACAGTCAAGCTATTGTGAAGAAAAATAGCAAAAAAGGCAAACCAAAAAACGATAAGATACATTATCTACCTTAAATTGTGCGTTTTCTTCTAATATTTCTCCTAATTTATCTCTCAGCTCGGTTATATCCGCTATGGAACGTTGCTCCGATCGATTGAGCTTTTCCTCGAAATACTGTCGTTGCGTTTCCAACTGCGACGTTAGTAAATACGTGAATTCTAACTGCACCGAATCGACCTTCTCCTCTACGGCAGCGCCTTCATTCTTGGCCGTGGTGGGACCACCTTCCACCATCTTGCCATCCTTATCTTGCAACAATCGATGCACGAAGTTGTCACCCACGTAGTCCCAGACGCGATTGTTGCCCAATTGCATCGCGTAACAATGATGCGTGTCTCGGTAATGCTCGAACGCGTGCCCTTGATGATAACGCGAGCAACCAACGTGCCCACAGATCAAGCAAATCCACAAAGCGTCGTTACTGGTGTCTGCAACTAAAAAAATTTATGTAATTTTTATCCAATTTACATAAAAAATGAATATCCTAGCTTTCCAAAAAATTGTAAGTTCCTAATATATAATATACAAACACTGACAGGATTTTTTCTAAACAGTCTAAATCCTAAGAAAACAAAAGATAAATTTAATATTTCAAGCTTTAAATCCTAAGATCAGAAAAACAACTTACCACATTCCATACAACGACTTTCAGCCAATGGTTCCGGAGTTTGAGCGTATCGACAGATAGGACAGGATGTGTCACCCCACTTCACAAGACAACTGGAGTGGAAAGTGTGGTTACACAATATTGTAAGAATCCCATCCACGCTCTCGTCCATCCTTTCCAGACAAACGGGGCACGATGGTAACTCTGTATGTCCACTCAAAGACATCCCATTGTCTCCAACCTCAACTCTGGATACAAACACCATGTGGCAGACATCTGGTTCTAAAGAGTTGTAAGGAACACCGTTAAATGTTTCATAGAACTCACTTGCCGCACTCTGAAATTCAACAGAAAAATTCTTACCAAACTTCCGTACTACAATTCCTAAATCTTGTAACATCAATAAAATTAATTTTATAAATTCTATATAATTTAATTTACTACTATTTACTGCTACATAAAACCGATTAGTTTTTTTTTAAATATCAAAAGTATATTGTTCAAATTGTTTACTCACAGATGATCTAAAAGTAATCAAAGCCATATACTGATTAGGACTGCCGTCTCTAAGGATTCTAAAATGCTGCATATCCTGATGACAAGCTGCTGTAAAAGTCAAAAGGTCGTGACAGGTCATTGTTGCTGGCACGGACAGGATGCAGATGGTGTGGCTGCGATCCGCAGCACATCGCATTTCTGTCAATTCACTAAAAATAAAAACACACAAATATTATAATTTTGAACTCTCTGATCTGAATTATCACTTAAATATCTAAATAATATCTAAATCATTTTGTTAGCAAACAAAAACAAAAATTTACTCTTCTTTGAAAAGATGTAGGATGCCTTTTGTAACTTCTACGAAAGGATTTCCGGAAATAAAATTTATTTGATCGGGTGAAGTGCAAGCTGCAGCGCCAGGACTTTCTGCCGAAGTTGTATTTGAGACAGAATTTGTATTTGCAAACGATATCTCTTCAGAATTTGCTCTCGATGATGAATGCGACTTGCTTGTGCTCTGGTTTGATAATAATGGCGATGGATTTTCTGTCATGTTTGTATAAGTTTCTACAGTAATATCTCTTGGTTCTCTGCAACCTCTCATCTTTCTCGCAGCCATGGTGCCTGTGGTAAAAGATTTTATGTGCATTAGTCACAACCTTCATTACCTACTTTAATTGGCGCTTAAAATTCAAAAAAATGCTATTAAAAAAAAAAATTTACGACAATAAATTTATGCAATAAGATGATTTATAATTACTGGCAGTCTCATCCAACTGTGGATCACAAATCTCGATGCGAATAACGCACAGAGACACCAGAACAGCGGACGAATTCATGCCACATTATTAAATTGCATCATATTATGTTAAGTATTTTCCACTGTTTACTTTGATCGTTACAATTGTCTTCCACGTTCATTCTCGAACAACAGAAAAATACACAATACCGCTAGAGAAATGTCTGTTTTGTATCAAAAAACAACATAACCTCATCTAACATCGTTCGAAATAAGATCGTAAAATTCGCTGGACAGCTGGGCTGCGAAGAAGAAGAGATCGGTCTGCGCATAGGGGAAAAAAAAAAAAAACGGACAAAGTGGGACAGCGTTGCGCGCAACATCCCTGGCTGGCAGCCAATGATTGTGAAGTGGGCGGACTTTCTGATTGGAGACGTGGTGCGAAACAGACAAGTTTCAGATCGAGTTCAGTGAGAGGAGAGATTGGGAACGGACGAAACTCTCGTCCGCGCTAGTAAGTACTGCACCGTCTGATATTTTGTGCCGGTTTATACAAAAAGATTATCTCGCTCTCTAGCTCTCGTCAGTGATGAAAGTTTTGGCAGGCTAGCACCAAGGGTGGGAGCCACTGGGAATACGCACACAAGCGAGACCGCCGTCCGTGTGCATGACGTCACACACACGGACGGCGGTCTCGCCTGTGTGCGTATTCCCAGTGGCTCCCACCACCTTGGTGCTCTTGGTGCTAGCCTGCCAAAACTTTCATCACTGGCTCTCGTCCGAGATCTGACAAATATCGAACAACCGATATATTGATGAACGTATCATTCTTCTCTCTGCTGGAAAGCAAGCTTGAAGATTTTACGCGGAGGACCACGGAGGACGCGCTAGCACCGGCGTCGCCAAAGCTGTTTCGTGTTTCTCCATTTCTTATACATCAAAATGGCGGCCAACATGAAAGGAATGTTACAGGAGGATTTGAGAGCAGCTATTTTGAAGAGCAAAGTGCTCGTCGTCGGCGCCGGTGGGATCGGCTGCGAGATCCTTAAAAATCTCGTTATGTCCGGATTTCCCGACGTCGAAATCGTAAGTGTACAATCTTTGTTTTCACAATATTTGTATCATAACCTCGTTTATAGGTTTACGCGGGAGGCAACGCGTTCTGTAATTTTATATTTATATATATATATGTATATATATCTCTAATTAGTACTCTATATGTTATTATAGTATATTTTTACAGTATTATTATACTATACATATATATATATATATATATATATTACATATATTATCATAGTATTTTATAACCTAATTAATATCTTATAAATTTTATGTTTAAAACGTATTAGTTGAAATTCTCTTAATGATTTTTTTTTAGATCGACTTAGATACAATTGATGTAAGCAACTTAAACAGACAGTTTTTGTTTCAAAAGAAACATGTGGGAATGTCGAAAGCTAAAGTAGCATGTGAAACAGCATCAACATTTAATCCAGATGTCAAAATAAAACACTACCATGACAGTATTACATCGTAAGTTTATTTTTAATGCTGTTGTTTTTTTTTTGCTTGTATTAATAGTGATGTTGATTTTATATTTTTTAAATCCTTTTGTGCTTGCAGACCAGATTTTGGCTTATCTTTTTTTAAGAGATTCACAATAGTTTTGAATGCCCTTGATAATAGGGCAGCTAGAAACCATGTGAATCGTATGTGCCTAGCTGCGGATGTACCATTAATTGAATCTGGTACTGCAGGTTATGAGGGTCAGGTTGAACTTATTAAAAAAGGTCTGAGTCAATGTTACGAATGTACACCTAAAGCTGCACAGAAGACTTTTCCAGGTTGTACCATACGTAATACACCCAGTGAACCTATTCATTGCATAGTATGGGCTAAACATCTTTTCAAGTAAGCAGTATTGCAATATATTTGTTTTAAATAATTTCTAAAGTGCTATGTCTTATAAAATTACTATATGTATAAACTTTATATAAATGATTAAAATTTAAAATTTATAGACAATTATTAATTTTTTTTTAATTTGTCTAATTAAATGTTACAGTCAATTATTTGGTGAAGATGACCCTGATCAAGATGTTTCTCCAGACACAGCAGACCCTGAAGCAGCTGGTAATATAAAATTAATTTATTAGAAAGTAAATATTGGTATAAATAATTATTTACTTTAGGTTTTTAATTAATAATGGGGTTTTTTTTTTAATGTTGTAGACATAGCGGGAAAGGAAGCTTTGCAGTCGGAATCTAATAACAAAGGTAACATTGACCGAGTTTCCACGAGAATTTGGGCTCAGTCATGTGACTACGATCCAGAAAAGCTGTTCACAAAATTATTTCACGATGATATCAAATATCTGTTAAGCATGGACAATTTATGGAAGAAACGTAGACCTCCAACGCCATTAAATTGGAGAGAATTGCCAGATGGAGGTTTCTATCATTTTTTAAATAATGTATTTTTATGTTTAATATCTTTTCTAATTTCAAGTTTTGTTTTTCTAAGTGGCCGGATGTAGCAAAGAAATTAATTACCCCGGTTTGAAAGATCAGCAGCGCTGGAGTATTTCCAAGTGCGGCTCGATCTTCGCGGAATCGTTAAAAAATTTAAATCAAGCGTTGAGAGCTTCCCAGGAAAAATCGTCGACCAACTTTTTGGTTTGGGACAAAGATGATCAACACGCTATGGATTTCGTCGCCGCATGTGCCAATATTCGCGCCTACATCTTCGGAATTCCTCAAAAGACCAGATTTGACATCAAATGTTAGTGAAAGTAGTCACTCTAATTTTAGAATTAAATCTATTTTTTGCACGTGAAATTTTTTGATTTCTAAAATCCGTTTTCTAATCTCGACACGATTCTTTGTTTGATTCGTAGCAATGGCCGGCAACATAATTCCGGCGATCGCCACCACCAATGCCATAATCGCCGGCATGGTGGTTCTTCATGCTTACCAAGTACTGAGCAACAACTTGCAAGCTTGCAGATCGGTTTACTTGCGTCTGAAAATGAACCATCGTAATCAGTTATTGGTGCCAGAGAAGGCGTTGAATCCGCCCAATCCCAAGTGTTACGTGTGCGCGCCCACGCCGCAAGCGGTGTTGGCAGTTGATACGGCCAATATGACGATCAAGGAGCTTGAGGAGTTGGTGTTGAAAAACAGACTCAACATGATCGCTCCTGATGTCATGATCGACGGTACCGGCGCGGTCGTTATCAGCAGTGAAGAAGGCGAGACGGATTGCAACAACGACAAGAAATTGGAAGAATTGGGAATTAAGGACGGAACAATACTTAAAGTCGATGATTTTCATCAGAATTATTCGCTGACTATCTTTGTGGTTTATCGCGAGAAACCTGGTCCGAAGGACGACAGTCCTCTGTTTTTGATAACTGCCGATAAAGATGCGCTTAAACCGAAAGAAATTGAAGAGAAACCTTCGACATCCAACGGACAGGTAAGTGATTCTTTTAGAGAATATTTTTTTTTTTTTTTTACTTTATACGGAAAAGAAAAGTAAGAAAAACTTGAACAATTATGACTTAAAGATCGTTGAAATTAATAACAAGAAATATACACGCACAGTTTCCGCTCAAACATATTGCGAATGGCTCGTAAGGCCTTATATATTTCTTGTTATTAAGAAAATCTTGTTTTTTTTTTTTTAAACAGAACGCGACCGTGTCGGCGGATATCGCCGCGAAGAAGCGCAAACCTGATTCAACCGATGTCGAGGATATTGCAGCCAAGAAACGCAAGTTACAAGTCAATAAAACGGATGATGATGACGACGACGACATTTGTATCATCGACAGCAACGACGTGTCTTACTCTAACTCATCTGAACTGACAAAAACAAAAAAATTGGAGTCTTCCGAGGACGATTGTTTGATAGTGTGTGATTAACTTCATAAACAATATCTATCCAATCTCATTGTCATCTTTATAATCTTATACCATTACACATGTACAGAAAATAAGTGAAACTTATTTTATATTTCATTTATAAAAACAACACGAGATACAAGAGAAGATTCCATTAGAAATAATCATTTCCTTATTTCATTGTAAAAGATGTTTTTTTTATCATCACGTTAATTAGATAAATATTTATTGTTACTTTGTGCGGTAAAATTGTGTGCTATTAATTTTTTCTCTTAGCGCAATGTAAATATTTGTCCGGTTTGTAGTTGTACATCTTGAAATCCATTTTGTACCTTTCGTATAGCTGCGAGACCATATCGGTGGTCAAGTTGCTGAAGTATCTGCACGTTACATCGAAGTTAGAGGCTTCAGCGCGAGTACGTTGCAGTCTGGGCAGATAAACCTTATCTCTGTCCAACTTCAGTTTCAACAGAACGTAATTGATCTCCCCGAGAGTGTAATCGTCCAATTTTAGAATAAAATTGTAACTTACGTTACAAACTGCACAGTGAGTGTGATATTGCGCCCAATGAACGTCGTCGTGACGCGGCGGTTGCTTCAGCAGCCACTCTAGAAATTCTCGAAAAGTAGGCACTATTTTCAGCCTGCAAAAACGATAAAAGCGATAATAGCTGAATATGTGAGTGTTTGTATGTGTTATATACAGATCAAATAAAACAAAATATATATTTTGTTTTCGTACCTTCTATCCGGCGAGAATATTCGTTGCAAACTGTTACCAGTCGACACGTTGGAACGAAAGAGTTCTGGTCTCGAAAGATAAAAGATCTGACGGGCATAAAGCCAGCTCTGCGCGGTGTGTCTGGTGTTGTCTTCGATACGGTCTCTGTGAACACCGTGCAATTTGCAATTTTTTTTTTTTTTTTTTGTGAAGCAGCGAAACTAATGATCCGTATTAATTGTTAATTACCTATACGATGAGACTAGTCGTTGAAACGGATGTCTGACGACGAGCAGTTTAAAGACGTCATTGTTGTGAATCAAATTCTGCAACTCTTTTATATTTTCCGGCGAGAGAAAGTCCACTTCCCTGTTGATTGCGCGTTGTGAAATAATTATCTCGATTATTTAGAATAAATAAAATAAATAAAATATTTATTATAAAGATTATATATATGTACACATATATAAGAAGAAAATTTCCTACTTGTAAAAGTTATGGGTGATTTGACGATTGTTCATGTCGGAGAATAATTTGGTGAAACTGGTGGACGCGACTTTGCGGATCCAACAATATAAAGATTTATGTTTATTGTTGTATAAAAAATGTTTCTTCACAAGAGGAGTCTTCAAGTTGTACTTCGTACAGGTGTCCGACATCTGTTGGAGAAGTGTCGCGCTCTTCTGTTAACAAAAGTATATTTATTATTAATTAATACTTTTACAAGAGTCAATTGTAACGTTTGTATACGGATGTACCCTCTTTTTTTCTTAAAACAAAAAATTATAACTGAAGTATTTTAAATTGGGACGTGTGTCCGACAAGTCCTCGATAGTATAGTGGTTAGTATCCCCGCCTGTCACGCGGGAGACCGGGGTTCGATTCCCCGTCGGGGAGGTGATTTATTTTTTTTTAATTTTACTTTTGTCAAATAAGAATAAATCTTTGAGTGGCAGTAAGATTAATGCAACCTATTGCACTATAAACAAATTATTTAAAAAAAAAAAAAAAGTTTGCGATATCATTTTTACTAACTACCTGCAAATCAATAGCTTCGCCTTTCAATTCGTCTCTTCGCAACATGTTGACTTCGAACTCGATATTTTTCTTAATTATGTTTGCGGATTTTACAAAACGAGATTTTTGTGGTTGCGTGTGGCGCATTGTCACGCTTATAACGTCTTTTGAGTCAAAATGTTTTAACATCTTGATCAATATTAAACAGAAAATAAAATACAGCACGATACACAGAACATATTTGATTTGCACTTTAACAGAAATAATTACCATAATTAAGCGATAATTCTGTAGCGCACAAGATAAGTTTTTTAATCGCGCAATTTATTATTTTTATTATGTAACAAAAATATATATTAAATTTTGTACATGTACAACAGTTTTTTTTTTTGAACACTAAATTTTTATTTGAATATATTAAATATATTTGTTTCTTAAAAATACTCTTTAAATATATTTAACTATTTTTTCTTTTTTTATAAATGTTGAAACAACTTGTATAAAATTACTACACAATAACGCGTGAAAAGGATGCTGTAACGTACTAAAGTTAGCATCTTCATGCTTTTGTCAAACCAAGCGGGAAATATTTGTGTAGGCAGGATGAGATAATTCTTATCTGTATCGATTTCCTGATTTTCTAAATCGGGAAATTATACATATTTACATTAACGTGTTATATTTGGTGAATGTTCATAAATAATTTATAACAAAACAAAAATTATTAAATGCACTTGTAAAAAATTGCATATATATATATATATATATAACTGTTACGTAGTTAAAAATATCTTGATTTTTTTTTTTATACATTTACAAAAAACAGATTAAACTTCAAAAAGTGTTCATTTTGTTTTGGCTATTGAAAACTTGTTCGCGATTCTTGTAACGTCAATAGGTCGATTATTAAGTTATCAAAAATTTTTTTGTTTTCAAATTCGAGTCGACAAGAATATCTTTCACGCAAAAGGGATTGTAAAATTGGGTATTTAAAGAAAAAAATGTAGAAAGAGATCATTTTTTATTATGTATATTTGTATATCTTTCTCCGATTGAACAGCGAAACGTCTCGATATTATTGCATTTTATTCGTGTGACTGCAAAAGATGTTGAAAAACCACTGAGAAAGTATATTGGAGTACAAATATCTAATAGAGTACAAAACTTAATTAATCTGAGTGCTTTATAATAGAAAGAATATGTTTTTTTCAGGATTACACTACACGGGTTAATGATGATTAAGTGGCATGATTGCAAATGTTTTTTATAACGTTGTACCCGTCGATTCCCAAAAACGAAGAGTGTTTAGAAATTTAATGACTTCCAGGAAGAAGATTACACCACATAAATTCTGACATCTTATTTAAGATTAAGTCAAAATTGTTTATTTATAATATATTTTCAGTATAATTTAATTTAATGTATAGTCTAGTTTTCAATATAGGAATTTAATTTATATAGAACTTTATTTTTTTGTAATATAAATTTTTGTTTTAAGTAATTGCAGCAAATCATGATAGATCATCAAGATTTTTCAATTTAAGTCAAGATATCTAATGAACAATTTGTTACAATAGTTTATTCCGCTTAAATTTATTTTTATCGACGATGAAGCACGATCTGGAAATCGATGGGTGTCGATAAGTGTTACGGCATGAACTCGATTCTTATCTGCGATCTCTATATCTGTGATGATCGCGAGAAGAACGATGTTCGCTGTGTCGACTGTGACGACTGGTTGTTCTCCATAGAAATTCATCGACGCTTCTCTCGTAATTACGCTTATCCAAAGCTGACGTAGTCGCGCTATAATCCGGAGGTAACGGCAAACCGTCGTAATATCTGAAAGCAATTCGTCCAATTTCGTGTAAGACAATTTTTATTTTGTTTGCATCTTGTACGCAGACAACAACAGCGAAAAAATAAATTGAAATAGCTCAAAGATGGTGTCAAATGACCATTTGTTTCAATGTAATGAATATTCTCCCAATGAAATCGTGAAAAATGTTCTCCCTTACCTTGGAGGAGGAGGTGGTGGTGGTGCTAAAGCGTCGTAAGGACCGTAAGGCGGCAACGGGGGCAACTGATGTTGCATAGTACGCATGTAATCCGCGACGTAAGCCTCCGCAACTGCAGCTACACCTAGTCCACTAGATCCGTAACCTCTAAAAACGCGAATGACAGTCACATGAACTACGTGAAATATACATTTCGAAAACTATCGTAAATGTTAATGTATAAGCGTTACATAACGGAATCAACATCGTACTTCGTATAAGGCGAACTTCCTCGAATGATCCATGGCGCGTACCGATGAGAACTGTCCCTAGAACTCCTGTGATCACCCGTGCCGTGCGAACTTCGGGCCAACGAGGCTAAGCGTGATCTCGAAGTCAGAAACAACCTGCGTCCTCGTCCGCTTCTCCGCAAGAATCGAGAACTGCTTATCGGCTTTTTGGCGCGATAACGCGAGAATTTCGTTTTGTTTTTTCCTGCCTCTTTCGATTTTCGCAAAATAGGTGTCATTTCGATTCCTAAACACATTATTTTTTTATTTATATACAAACGTAATTTGTTGTTAATGTCAGATTATGTATTAAAATAATACAGAGTGATGTGATGCAATGATATATAAAAATGCACACGAAAAATAATTTCTCTCATGCAAAGATGTAAGTACGAAAGATTTGTACAATAAATACTTATTCAGGATATTTGTGTACCGTATTAATTGTTAAGATAGTATTTATGGATGTTAAACCTTCATCTTCCGGAAATAATCTGCACAATTCCTCGGCAACTCTGGGTTCTATTTCCTGACCATCTCGGCCAATTTTAACTTGTTTGCCATCGTTCCAAGGGTTGTACAAATGTAACGTGGCCGTGAACGGTAGTTCCTTTCTACAAATCCAATCAACCTTAAATACACCTCCCAAAGCTTTTGCAGACAAACCAGGAGGCAAAACCTAAAACAGCATTCAATACACGTTTCCTTTTTTCATAAAATAATAATCATATATCGATTTGTTTTAATCATATATATATGTATTTATATTACGTATAAAATTTATTTTTAACATTGTCTTCATACCCAAGAAATTGGACTAGCATCTCTTCTCGATTCTGTACTGAGTCTTGCAAAACCAGCAAATTTTCCCGATTCCTTCACAGAAAACACCAACAATACATTTCGCGATTCTCTGTAAGCTTGATTCAGATTTGCTTCATTTTGCGGAAGAGTGCTCCACACTCCCTTGGCCTTGGACAATGTCACATTCTCTGCATTGTTGGACTTGATGATGAAAAATCTAAGTAAAAAAAGACTTGGAAGTTTTTACCTCAAACTTCCTCGCACTTCTATTTCTTTTGCTTTTGTTTATGAAAATAATGTTGAATCTTAATGGTTACTAAAGAAAAAAAAAAATTTGAAATTTATATGTGGAGAAAAATACTTCAAGAGATTTCATTTTACCAAAAAAAAAAAATATTCGAACCTTGCATCTCTAAACAAGTAATTCAACTTGGTGGTGTAGTCATAAGTCTTGATGGTGCCTTTGCTCTCCTTGGATCTAGCTCGCTTCACTTCTGGACTGGACGACTTGGTGTCTCTTGATCTGCTTCGTTTGTTGTTCCTGTTTCTTCGGCTATGTTTGCTGTCACTTCGGGAGGACTTGCTGGAGACAGAACTAATAGTAGGATGGCTGGAGTCAGAATTGGAACTACTCGACGACACTTCGCTCCTGGTGTCGTACGTCTCGTCCGCGGCGATTCTTAACTCGTCGCCGTTATCGTTCTCGCTCAGATTCATGTTGTCGCCGTCTGTGTTGCTCCCCATTGCTTAACCGGGACTGTCACTCGGTTCCGGATCAGGCGTCCGCCTGTAACGCAAACACGAGATAGGACTTATTTCCAAACCACGGTCCGCGTGAGAACACTTCACCAGGAAGAACGGCATATCGTAGCGTTTCTCGTACATTTTATGACAACAATGCGGTAGCAAAGGATTATATAGTATACAGCAAGGATAGTTCGGGAATTCCGAGCCGAGCGAAAAGTCCACACTGTCCCAAGAACTTTCAATTAAAGCGCCTACACGCGTCGAAGCGGCATCCAGCTTTCTTACACCTAACACAAATCGACTGGGACACATGGCAATTGACTCGAACTCCCAGATTCTGAACGTCACCCGGTGAGCCCGGCCAGAACGTAAACTAGAAACTTTACGGATAGTCCTTGAGATTATGTGGCAATAAATAACACATAGCGAGCTCCAGCTGAGAGAGCTTGTTCTATGTAGTCTCTTTTTTTTTTTTTTTTTTTTTTTTTTTTTTTTTTTTTTAGATATTGTTGTGTATGAAGTTCAGAGATATGTTCTTCTTATCTTTTTTCTTTAAATGGGTGAGGACCCCGCTTGAGGAAGATCCTCGCGTTATTTATTCTTCTCTATTATTGCACTCCTTCTAAAACCAGAAGTCAATTATCATCGTTACGCGGATTATTTTTCTTAAACTATATTTTATACTCTTACTCGCGACATACTACAGAGAGTCCGTCAAAGGATTGTCGTTTTACTCTGACATTTTTTTTTTTTTTTTTTTTTTTTTTACTGTTTTGCGTTGCGTTTTAACTATCTAGGATAAAGTTCGTCCCGTGTAAATCAGTAGATTTTTTTCACATATAATACAGAATTAAACGTCGTCATTTTGTAATTTTTGGTATCCATTTAATCGCGAAGTCCTCGCGAATTTTTTCTCAACGAGTCCTCCCGAGGCCTCGGCGCACACTTACGTGACACCTTACTTATACGGTCCCTTCACTGACACACTTCACACAGGAGAGTAGCACGCTCGGGGATCGTCCGATGCGGTTTTTCACACACAGCACGGCCTGCGACGCACGCACATTCCAAATTCTAATATACGGAATTGCAATTAATTGCAATTTAATGGAGAATGAACTGCAAATAAATAACTGTAAACACAATCGTTCTCGCGGAGAGATCTTTTGCGCTAAATCATAGCGCCATTGTGTGACGTGTACAGAATCAATAGCGAGTAGAGGTGGAATATATCGTAAATATGGCGGAAAGAATCACAACACAAGAGAACGCGAATCCGTAATTCATCGCTATATGCTTCCTAAGCTGAGATACGTTCCTAAAATACTATCTATGGTAATCAAAAACTATAGTACACGTGACGTGAAATATAGTATATTTTGATAACCAAGGCAGGGTTTGGAACGTATCCCAGGGTGGAAAATTTTCCTCCCGAGGTGCATCCCCAAATAATATTTCCGAACAGCACTGTCGCACTTCACCTTTGAACAACGTTTCCGAATGGGCAATGAGCTTCGGTGAGTATCAACCCGAGTGAAAAGTTTCCGAACGCAGACTTCACATCTTCACAACAGAGTGATATCTACATTTGTTGCTTGCAAGAGAGCAGCTTGGTTACTTTGATTGTTTTTTTTTTGTGTGCATTTATACACAGCGATTCGGATTCCATTTAAAACTGTAAGTCCGCTGAAATTACAATTTGAAATTTGAAATTTCGAAACTTGAGAGTACGTGTGCTTGAGAAATTGTGAACTAAGTGTATGGGGCAGATGATTGGAACCTGCGAGCCCGAATATACAGCTTGAGAAGATGTTGCGTATTTGTGGTTAATTGCAACCAACGGTATTATTTTTGTTCAGTGCAGTTTTTATTTTTTATTTAATTATTTTTGCTAGTTGCACGTAGAGGTGCTCGGTGTTGGAGTTTGCAATATTTTGTAACTTTGTTTACTTTGTTCCATCTAATTTGACAGCTTATTTGATGTAGAACATGATTCTGTTTCTGCCGATTTAGGGTCAAGATTTGGGATGATAAAGGCACAGAATGATGGTATAAAACTGTCCGGAGTATCAGCGATTCGGATGAGAAATTCGGTCGACTGTTACCATCTAGCGGATCACGAGCCACTTTGCGAGGCAAGCTGGTGATCATGTTGAATTCGAGCACCGTTGTGGCTCATATCGTCAAACTTGTTGTGACCACATTATGCATGAGACATCTCGTCGAATGGCAGGCCTTCGGAAGAACAAAAACCTTGCCGACCGAATGGTCTCTGCGTGCCTTCGAAATTCTTTTTATGCACTCACTTCTGGGAATCTTCAGATTTGGTGAGTCAAATAGAAATTCACACCTATTCTTGTTTTTTTTACCAATGTTGTTCTTTATGCAACATTCAACTTAATTCGGTTTTAAAACCAATTAGATTGCTTTTTTTTTTCTATTCATGTGTTTATTTCGTTCTTCAAATATTGTAATGTAAATGTTTCTTTATACGTAAATTCTTAGGTGGAATAATAGACAAATTGTTTTGCTATTCTTCTAGTTTCCAGTTGTAGAGATATGTTTATATCTTTTCTCTTGGCAGTCTGCTTTTTTCAAAAACAAACCACTATCCTTATTCAAAGCATAAACTTATAGGTATGGACCTTTCAAGATTCCATGTCATAACTTGGGAAGGGGGGTAGGGAGGGGGCACAGAGAAGATCCAGTTGATATACAAAGTATAACACATGGCCACACGTGACTTTTAATTTTTGTGTCTAAATCGAGAATGGAAGAGGAAGATGATTTTCCATTTGCCAAGGATTTATATGGTAATGATTTGTGCAAGTTTACTTGACACATAGTTGGAACAAGTGAGGAACTGTTGCACAAAAAACATTTTAAATTTTTATATTTTTATGGCTTTATCACTATTTGCAGTATTTTATAGCTTTGTTTCGATTTTTGTAAGTTTTTAAAGAGACAATAACACTTTGTCTGACTTCAATTTTTTAAAGACACACGAGCTTGTAAGATAAAATATCTATATATATGGATTATACATTAGGACGTTCTATTCGCACAAGCTTTACCAACGTCAGCTTTTGCACGCACATGTGTCAGAATGTTTTTGAACATGGTTCCAGCGATATTAAATATTTTATGTTTATCTGCTCAGCACTGTTTCACCTTGTGTTAAGTCTGTTGCATATTTATATATGTGATATATTATTTCTTACATGTTCCAACAAGTTAGCAAACGGTATGGTCATGTGATCAAATTGTATTTGTTTACGTACACTGTTTTCTTTTAGAGAAATTAGAGCACAGTTATAACATTGAATCTTGTATCCTTTTCATACGTGTATAATTCATAGTGATTTGTATAGGTTTCATGTATTGAGGTATCTTTTTATCTCTGTAATTCTAAAATTTTCAGGGATTCCGTTTACCATGTCATCGAGATCCACAGCGAGATACTTTAGATACTTCTATGACTGGTTCTCCATCGTTGTTGAAATTGTCCCGTTGGCATTATTGACGTCTGGTATATTGAGCGCGTATCAGGTCGAGGAAAACCTTCGTATGTTGATGTTGATGTTTGGCACAATACCGATATTCTTTCCGCTGGTGAAAAGTCAGAATGGAAGTCAAGGTCAAAAACTATATTTTTTAACTAATATCATCATCGTACTGCAAATACTGGTGATAACAATACTTGGCTTGCAAAATGACAATTACAATGTTATCAGTTTAGTCGCTTCCTATATCTTTAAACGGTTTTTTGTGGAAGAATTTTGTTATCAATATAGTATACCCTATACTGACTTGATGCAATATTGCATATGCTTTGTCGAAGTCTTTACAGTATTAACAGTTAAGGAATTATAAGAGATTTATAAGACTTTATACATAAAATGTATAACTTTGTACTATATAAAATTTATCTATTGTCTACGATAGGTAAAAAGGCCAATATGAGGCAATATACGAGATGTCAGTGAGATGTCTTTTGTTTCAATAAAACTACATAAAAATGTAGTTTTGATTCATAAATCAGATTTTCTTCAGTGAATAATTGAGCAGAGAAACAAAAATTAAAAATTAAAAGAAAATTATCACATAAAAAATTAAATAACACAGTACAATAAACCTTTTTCTTCAGTTATTCACTGAAGAAGATTCGATAGATTCCACGGATCAAAACGTTTTATGTTATTATTTTATTTGATAAAACTACATTTTTACACACTGACATCTTATATATTGGCTCTTTATCTATTGTAGACATTTTCACGAACTGTTTCACTTTTTATCTGTTTTCTATTTCAAGCACACACAAACGTCATATATAAATTCAACAAATCAGTTATTACAAAGAGAGTCAATTTTTAAAATAAAAAATAAAGAATTTGTCGTAGTTATATAAGCGTTTTACAACCAATTGTTCGATAATATGTGGTACAATATTTTGTAATATATATCTACATGTATACGTAACGCAGTTGTATAGCGATACACAAACACACATGCGATACACAAACAATACATTATTTTACTATCATCAACTTCCAAGTTAAGTGACATATGGCATATAAATCTTGGAGTAAACATTTATGCTATATATCTTTATTCATATATATCTCAAAAGGAACTGATTTTTTAAATAACAAAAAGAAAATTTGTATTTTAATTATTATATATATGAAACTTGTACAACAATTTTTATTCGTTTTTATAATCGAATATAATACTAGGAACAATTTATATAATTTTGAAGTGTAATACATGATAAAAAAAAGTTGTCTTATCACGTTTGTATATTGTTGTTTCTCTTTTTCATTTTCCATGTAAAATGAAATAATAACCAGGCAATTTTTAATCTTTTTAGAATAACCGCGCGTGATGTTACAGCCGAGGAATCTCATCGTTAATTTGGCACGCACAAGATTGCCTCACAGAATTTGGCACGCGGTTAATGCAATGACCACCGAAATTACTTGAATATGTCACAGTGTGAGCGACCACACCACGGAAAATAAATTTTCAATAAAATTATTGACTCGATATTATAGCCATGTCTCACACGCGTGATAATATCCGGTGAGCGACGCGCAATTTATCCCGAAAACACGCATTACGAAATGAATGTTCCGCAGTTGTTTACGATTGGCAATAATAGTTGTTGGCAACCGGACGAGCAATGTTCAAAATTATTTTTTGTTACCCGACTGGAAAATATGTGTGAACGGTGACGAAGGGGAGCTGGAGGCGGAGGAGCGGTCAGATATATTTTTACACCACTATAGCTGCATGCTAGATAGGGTCACGTTGTAACGGTTTGCAGCCGCGAATCGCGTAGGCAGCGAGCTGAGAACGGTAATACATACAGCCTCTCATTTCGAACTTTGTCGTCTAATAAACAATTGCGAAAAGAAATAAATGTGAACAAAGTTTCTATATCAACAGAGCCCAAAATATTATATTTTTTTAATATTACATATTAATTCCGTTAAATAAATTAAACGGTTGGTACGCACACATATATGTGAGCAATGCGCGTGTACACACGTGACATCTGCTCCGTCTTCCCTCGTGTGTGCTGCGCGCATGTAATATGGATTCATTCATAAATACTATGAATACGTGCTAATTTTACACATTTTCTATATATATCGTTTGTTTCCGCGGCAGTAATCCGATATAAATGAAATACTTTTGAGCATGAAACGCTGCATAATAACCGGGAGAAGGGGCATTTCACCCAATTTATATTCGCACACATTTCAATACATTTATATTTTAATATTATTTTTGTCATATAAAAGAGTTTGTTGCGTAAACATTTTACAAACAGCTTCAAATTAACGTATACAATGAAACTTGTCTTTTTGTACGTTTCTTGTTTTTGTAGTATTTGATAAATCAATTTCTTTTTGTTTTTTTTTTGTTTTTGACCGGAAAAATCTGTCCGTCGATCTGTCGTCATCATGATGAGTAACACTATGGATTTTTCAATTTAATATTGGCCTTCGTGAAAAGTTAAGTGACAACGTGGAGAGAAGATCGTGGTCACTTATAACATATTTCATTTTTCGTCGAAGTCACGGCTCTATTTTTGCGTCCACCGCGTCTTTCTAGCTGGTTTAGCGGAGAGGAAGTCTTTATACCGGGACGGAAGGACGGGTTTTCTTCAAGTGTCCGCCGTCCACCGTCCGCCGTAGGCCCGTTCGCGGCTTGCCTAATACGGTTTAAAAAAATTCCCGGTTGCAAATATCATTTATATTAATCATCATGGTAAGACCAACGATACGAGCGCGAAAAAAGTGTTTGTCAAAGAAAAGAGGCTGTAAATTTGTAAAGAGATATTTGTAATTATAGTTGCAAGTGCCGTATCTGAGAAACAAAATTATAAGTTAATTAAATAGTTATTTGTAAGAAAGAGAACATTTTTTTTTTTCAAGTAATAAAGAAATTTCAAAGTTCGAATGTTGTCGGAAATATCGACGTACGTAGCTTTGTTCTTTGATTCCAAATAGAATTGTATAATAAAAATACACACATATTTCGTAGATGAATTAGAAAATTGTTTTGTTTCGAACGTTCTCGCAGGAAGAAGAACATGATCAAAAAGTGGCTGTGATGCGCAAGGCATTTCAAATGTTCGACACGACAAAAAGCGGTTTTATCGAAACCCTGAAAATCTCAACGATATTAAACACAATGGGGCAACTGTTCGACGATGGCGAGTTGAACGCCTTGATCGAGGAGAACGATCCCGAAGGCACTGGTAAAGTGAATTTCGACCAGTTTTGTAAAATCGTCGGTCGGTTCCTCGAGGAGGAAGATGCCGAGGCGATGCAGGAAGAACTGAAAGAAGCGTTTCGATTGTACGATCGTGAAGGTAACGGATACATTACCACGGCTACGTTAAAGGAGATATTAGCCGCGCTCGACGACAAACTCACCAGCTCTGATCTCGACGGAATAATCGCGGAGATTGACACAGACGGTTCCGGCACTGTCGACTTTGACGGTAAATTGACAAATTTGTTTTCTAACTACATTAATTTCGTTTAAATATTCTCATATGATTTTTTTATATTTCCTGCAGAATTTATGGAAATGATGACCGGAGAATAATATCATATGTACTGAGACGCGGCGACAGATGCACATTACTTGATATATCATTAAAAAGGCGAATTGTGAACTTTCTTAATAAAAAAATATTTGCGCGGGAGAAGTTGTTTTATTTATCCTCACTTAATCCTGACTTATTTTAAATATTTGAGGAAGGATCGATTCAATATTGATTGATGAAAAACGGATGATTTACAAAGAAATATTTCGAGGTTTGCGTTTTAAGGCAATTTATTAATTGCAGTTGCTACACAATATTAACAAATCTTTTGTCATTGAAAAAATATGAAAAAAATATAACTCTTGATAGCATTATGAAGATATGCCGAAGTCGCGTTTATCTGATACGTAGGAACATATTACTGAGTGTTCATTTCGTTGGTGGGTTGACCTTCATGATAAACAAGAACCGTTGAAACATGGACGTTGGGAACCGAAAGAGCGCCAGTGGTCAGAGGTCTGTCCAATGGGTAGCCGAGTGGCTTACCGTCTAGAGAAACAGCGCCACCGATAACCTGGGAGATGGGTTTGTTCTGGAAGTATTTGTTGATGGATCCATCCTGTGTCTGTTGTCCTTCAGCCATGATGCCTTGGTAGCCACCGGCATGATACTGTCCGCTACCGATGTATGAGGCACCGTGTCCTTGTTGTTGTTGGCTCTGTCCTTGGTAGGTGTTTTGGTATGCACCCTGAATTTGAGACAAGACACCAGAGAGAGGATTTTGGATTCCCTGTCCTTGTACTCCTTGGGCGCCGTGTACGTTATGTACGCTGTGAAGACCTTGCACGCTTTGTACACCATGTGGGATCTGCACACCTTGCTGTAATCCCTGTACGCCTTGAACTCCTACAGTAGATTGTTGTCCCTGTTGTCCCTGTTCCTGCTGTTCTTGTCCGTAGATACCTGGATATTGAGTCCTGTCTTGAGCCCATTGTTGAGTCCATTGTTGAGATTTTTCCCATAAGTCGAGTCTCTGCTGTCCTTGTTGCCCTTGTTGTCCTTGTTGCCCTTGTTGTCCTTGTTGTCCTTGTTGTCCTTGTTGCCCTTGTTGTCCTTGTTGCCCTTGTTGTCCTTGTTGTCCTTGTTGTCCTTGTTGTCCTTGTTGTCCTTGCTGTCCGTGGTATTGGCTCTGTACACCGTAGACATTTTGTTGTCCTTGGGTATGTTGTCTCTGGCCGACTTGATAGTGGCTATGCGTATACGGATACTGTCCGTGTTGCTGAGTGTAGAGATCAGCATAATGGTTCCTTACAGCTGTAAGAAAGAAATGACTTATCTTCAAGTCGTTCAAAAATGAGCGGCTTTTTCGGTTTAGGATCGATAACACACCTTGGTTTCCTTGCTGGTTGAGGGGTAGATTCTGAGGTACAACCTCCACAGTCTGCTGCATATCGGATGTCTGACCTTGGTGTTGCTGAATCTGTTGATATTCCTGCGGGCTGACTACTTGATACTGGTGCTGCTGATATGTCTGGAACTGTTGCGGTATCACTGGTCCATAAGAGGGCATGTTCTGTCCTTCTTGAGAGATCACAACTAACAACTGAAGCGGCAATCCTTGCTGCTGACCCTTAGGAAGAGTCAACCTAGCTGGGAAGCTAAAGATCTGCTGCGGCTGTGGAAATTTTAATCTTGAGTTTCGCGTTCATCAGGATAAATATTATGAAATCTATGCGTAAAAGGACAATCACCTCAGTGATGTAGAACGGTTCCTTGGCGTGAACAGCACCGCTAACACGCTGCTTGATTTCTTGAACTGATGGATAGTCGAAGCTCTGGCTCGGTGCCTGCTGGGATTGTCTAACGATAACGTTCTGTCCTCGCTGAACTGTAAAAAGAAGAAAAAGAAAGATTTTCAGCTTTTTCTCAAAAAAAAAATTATTGGATAATCTCGCAATCGGAAACATACGGTTAGTTATGAACTGATCAAGTTCGACAAATTTGTGTCTGTGTTGGGAGATGCTAATAGGCTGGCCTTGGTAGTCATATTTCGGTCCTAAGTAGACACGGACGACGGCACTGGGGACGTTCTGCGTGCTCTGGACGGTGATCTGATACTCGTACGGTTTGTGGTCTAATCTCTTCAGTTGCGCTTGGATGTGTTTCTGTTGTTGTTGTTGTTGTTGCTGCTGCTGCTGAACTTGCTGTTGCTGGCCTACTTGTTGCTGTTGCTGTTGCTGGCCAGTGGCTGCATCAAGATCGACGTAGTAATCGTTGAAAACAGTCACAAGCGGACTGATCTGAACATCTTGAATGCTAACTCCGGGCAACAGAATGTCATTGTATTGGTACGCGGGCAGAGAATCCTGGTACTGTTGGAACAGACTGATTACTTTCTTATAAAGTTGGTAAAAAGCTGGATCACGAACGGCGACTTGTCCCAATTCAAGGACGGAAGGAGTGTAGTCGTAGATGTTTTGTGCTTCGGGAGCGTTGCCGAGGAGCTGACGCGCGGCGGCTTGGAGGCTACCATAGTATCTAAAATATAGAAAATATAGAATCGTTTATAAGTACTGCATAATGAGAATAAAATAATACTTCAGTATGCGATCATATAAAAAATTAACCTCGGGTTAACACTTCTGCCAGTTCCCTGAATAAGATCTCCAAGGATGTTCAAACCTTGCGGTTGGTAGAGAGAGAGGAAGGCGCCTTGCGGAGTAATGACATGGCCGGAGTCAATGGCTTCAATCAGTCTTTGTTCGATTTTCTTGACAGCTTGAATAAGAGTGTTCTTAGCAGGACTCAGCTGAACATCCTCAGAACGTCCCGAAACTTCAAGTCCGTTCGGGTGTCGGAGGTGCGGTTGGTACGTCGACTGTACGTTGATATAGTCAGTGTCCTGGATTGGACCGAGTCCGTTCGAAAGACGATTCAATTCGTAATGAGCCAACAATTGTTGGTGAAGATAATAGTAAACGGATCCCTGGTTGTTCTGATTTTCTTGACCTTGAATGCCTTGCTGTTGGTATTGCTGTACCGGAGATTGCTGCTGAGATCCCTGCTTGAATTATATTAAAAAAATCAAAATATGTTTGCACAAAGCAAACTTCAAAACAAAATTAATATATTATACATTTTACTTTTTCCACCGTTCGTATAAAATAATTGTAAAAAAATATATATTATAATTTTAAAATTATTGCATACTTTTTGTTGTGACAAGTATCCAGCGAGATTGACATAACTGTAATAGTTAGCAAGACCAACATCTTGTGTGAAGTAGGAAAGCTGTTGTTCGTCGTTGGATAATTGGGAAGAGTAATTGACGGGGATAACAACAGTGTTTTGTCCTTGTACAGTGCTTTGTTGTGCGCTCTGTGCAGCGATGTTCTGGGCTTGTTGAATGATCCTAGCATCGAAATAATATTGAGGAACGATTTCGTAGAGCGGCGGCAAGATGACACCCTGTGTCTCGGGATGTTGAAGAACGGCACCGATCAAAGCCTTGACGAATTGTCCCTCGTTAACATGGACGCGGGCCCATGCAGCGGTTGCCAAAAACGTCTGGTAGTTCTGAGCGCCTAATAAAATTCTGTGCAGCAAAGAGACCTCTTTGCGGAGCTGACTGATTGAGCTCGAGTAGACAGTGCCTTTTGGTTGCACCAGTCCAGCCTGTACTGCGCCAGCGTAGTACTGAACGAGAATGGGATTGTCGTATTGATGGGAGTTGCCTACGATATCGTATGTAGTACCAAGGATCTGGAGCTCCTGGTTCGGGATCGGTTGAGTGATTTGTTGTAACAGCAAGATCACATCTTGTTGTTTTTTCAGAAGATCCTGGTTAGCTACAAGACAAATAAGAAGACAAAACGTCGTTTACTTTAAAAAAATTACAAGTATCACTTTCTTTAAATTACGTTTCTTTTTTCAAGCAATAAACAACGTAGAAAGAACACAGTTTACACATACATTAAAAAAATACTTGTGCTTTAATAGAATGTAAGTCAAATTTCTTTTACACATATTTTCTCAAGCGACTTTATAGAGTCGTTCTTCGATTCTATAAATCCAGAACAGATGAGAAATAATGAGAAAGAGAATAGCAGAGAGAAAAACGATATCTTACCAGCACGCTGTTTCTGCTGCTGCTGCTGCTGCTGCTGCTGTTGCTGCTGCTGCTGTTGGTGGTGTTGGGGTAGAGCAGCCCCAAAAACTGCCAGAGCCAGTAGAACGATCGCACACCTCATTGTGATGCTGTCAATGCCGTCTGCCGCATGCTGTTCATCACTCGAGTGCAGTCTTTTATACCCAAATCGTATCGAATAAGGGCATTATCGGCAGCGACCCATTGACCCATCGCCGTGAAAGATTTCGCTGTCTACGCGCGATACCCCCTGCTATTTCGGATAAATCATTCGAAGCCTAATCGAAGGTTAACCGATGATAATGATCCCTGGGCAAGAATAAGTTGCATCATCAGTTACAATATAAAAAACGTTTCGTCAGTTTCTGCAAGACAAAATGTAATTATCTGTATCACAAACACAGGTTTATTGTTCGATTATTTCATATATGTATTTTTTCTTTTGTTCAAGGAAGAGGAAGGTGAGAGTTTTATTCACCTTTAAAAATAAAATAAAATTTATATATATATAAAATTTATATATATATATATATATAAAGCGATAAATTATTCTATCATGTTTATGCGAATCTTTTTTCACATGTAATATTTTATCCCAACAAAAAACAAAATAATATAAATGCCTGTTTTAAAAAATCTATGATTGCTTTACTGTGTGTAAGAAGATATTTTTTTTTATCTTCAAGTGTCACATGAGACGAGAAACATTATATATCATTATCTCATAATTAAGAAACATTACATATAATAGATTTGAGATCACATACAATAAATTTGTTTCTCCAATATATATAATAATGATTACGACTGAGAAAAACATCTAACATTTTCCGTAAACTAATATGTGTTTGTGTGTGTATATACATATTTACAATTTCATGTGAATTACACACAATGTTGTAGTGGCGCTCTTTAATTGATTGATTTTCGGCTGAAAAAAGCAATTAAATTCGCATCGAATAAATAACAGCGTTGATATACTGTAGACATAATGTAGATAACAAAGTTGCGAAGTGTAGTTTCAAGTGACAATGTAATTTAAATGAACATTTTATTTCTGAAGTGATAAAAAACAAAAATTTATATTTATTATAATTTTTATATTATATAATTATTATATAATTTTATAGTACGCAATTTATATTTATAATTTTGTAAAAAGTAGAAAATTTTTATTTTGCATAAAATCGAGAATCTATTTTGTATGAAATCGAAAATTTCGAAGTATTAAGTAATCAGTTAAATTGTAATAAGTATTACAATTATTAATAAGTATTAATACAATTGTAATAAGTATTAATTATGTTTCAATCACATTTCAGCTCGATATTCCGTAAAAAATATAAAAATTCGCCAATCTCCCGAGATATGTAAATCTAATTATAACTTTTTTAGTGGTAAACTTATTTGCGCTTGAAACTTTCTGTAACTTGATAATCGCATTATTATCTTGCGCATGTAGTCGTCATTCGCAAGATTAAACATTGAAACACATTTTAATCTATTTACAATCGTATTCAAGTTTCAAGATTAGAAAAAAATACTCTGTTAAATGTTCCATGGAATTTTTTAGAGGGAAGAGAAAAATACAATAAAAAATGTGAAAAATTGTTAGCTCTTTTATATTCATGATACAATAATTAAAATACGTACGTATACACATTTTATTTCAATATATTCATATTTTTTTTCAATTATATTTTAATTAAATTTTCTTAATATATATATATATATAACAAACTTTAATTCACGAATGTGATAAAACTTCTATAATTAATAAATTAGTTTGAATTGAGTTTATTAACTTCCATATTAACTCTTAGAAAATCATCATACATACGTGAAATTCAATGATGTGATAAGGAAGCATTATTGAGTAGAGCAAGTTTTAAATATTATTGTTACTTCTTCATTATCTCCCGATAATTATCCTCTGGATAAAGATATATCTTGCCTAGATAAAGTTGTCGAGAAGTTTATCTAGAGGTGTGAAGAAAAATTCGGCATAATTTACTTCTGTCACAGGTACTTTTACATATGTATATATATATTCATTCTTATAAAATTTTATTTTTCTACAGAAAGGTAACTTATAAATATCTACATAAATTCATATATGTACATGTAAGTATTGCTGTTATCGTTGTTTTGCTTCTCGAATATAAGATATTCTTGCATCACACGAGAAAAATATCAGCAAGATTTGCGCTAAGCGCAAACATCTCATAAAAATTTGATAAAGCATACAACGTGAAAAGAAAAAAAAAGATTCGTGTATAAGAGAAAGATAAATTTTCTCTCGTCGAAGTATTTCTCAGACAGATAACGATTGTGCGTCGATTTTGATGAACATCAAATTAGAATTAATTCGAATGTAATAAGTACCTAAAAAACTTTTTAACTGAAGAAATTTAGGAACGAGAAATATTTCGGTCATATCATATATCGCCGCTCTGATTTTCCAGTTGGGGTCGATTGGGGTTTTCTTCAGAGAGTTTCCGGTTCAAACAGGAAATCATCATCGGTTTTCTAACCTAAATAGAAAATTTATTTTCGCTACACATACAATAGCGTTCAGCAAAACAATTGCTGAGTTGTCGCCCTTGTCAATACAACGATGATCAGTGGTTCTAAAAGTAAGAGCCTATCACGTTTTGATCGCTGCAAAAACGTGCGTTTCGATATTCACTGCCGGTGTACCGGAAATCTATAGCACGTGTCACGTGAAGTGTACAGATTTTTAGTACTGCCAGTGAATATCGGAACACACAGTCCTATACAGTTTGATCTTGAACGACAAGCAGAACGCATCTCAGAGAGACAATAATGGCGAGCTGATGTTGACAAACAAGTAGATAGGATATAAAAGTTAGGATATAAGTCAGATAAAAAAAAAAAAGAAAAAAACTGTCGTTCGTTGACAACAATCGAGTTTTTTATGCGAAAGGAACAACATGAGTCTCAATGGCATCTCCTTATTATATGCTGCAAAGACATTTATTGAGCTGCCTGGTTATATTTACGAGGACGACGGCGAGGATTTGATTTTGGGTCTTACGTACAATGCCGAACAACGCGATGCCGAACAACGCGATGCCAAACAACGCAATGTTAAACAAGATCGTAAAAAAGGAACCAAGAGAAAATTAGCGGACGATATGCGGATAGAATCTCCGAATGACACTGCCGCGTCTTTGACAGACGCCGAGCAATTAATAAATAAATATCAAAGTTACATGGCACATATAATTCCACCTCTCAACGATATGGCGTTTAGAACTTATTTTGGGTATGTTTGTATATTATATTTATTTTGAATACATATATATATATCTCGTACACAACTCATTTTTGATTACACACTTAGATCTATCTTATTAGAGAAATTTGTCTAATTGTTTGTGTCAATTGTTTCTCGTCAGTGTGTCACTTTCCACATTCGAATTTATTTTGAACGAGGTTGGCGACAAGCTCTATCGCAGTATCAATGGAAATGAAATGATACCCGCAGAAAAACAACTTCTTGTGTGTCTAAGACGTTATGCAACAGCAACCCCATATAGGTGTGTATCATCACTTATGTAAGCATATCTTACCTACCTACGAAGATGCAAAATTCAATACAAGACAAATTTTATTTCAGCATATTTGTAAATGATTTTTATAAGATTGGCAAATCCACAGCTGTTAGATCTGTGCATCGTGTCACAAAAGCTTTGTGCGAACTCGAGTCAAAATATATAACCTGGCCTGATAAACATGGTATTGAGGATGTTATTCATGGTTTTTACAATGAGAACGGTTTTCCCGATACTGTAGGAGCCATTGGCAGTACTTATATCACTGTGTCTGCGACCAGACAATATCCTAGGGAATGGGTTAATCGAAAAGGCTTTCATTCAATTTTTCTTCAGGTAAACATTTCAATAAAGCTTTCACGTGTGACATATTTATTGATTCTATGGTTTTATTGCGCAAGAGTCCGATTTGAAATGATGATTCGAAATAAATTTTAAATGTGATTTGTACGCAGGCTGTTTGCGATCACAGGAATTATTTTACGCATGTTTCTGTGGGTTCAATTGAGGCTGCACGCTCGGCAATTGTTAAGCTTATCAATGATCCGGAGAAGTTTCCGAAAAACACTCACCTAATTGGAAACGCTTCTTACGGATTAAGCGAGCGTATTTTGATCCCGTATACTGAGAACGGATCACGTCCCATGACGCAACGTGAAAAGAATTACAACGCTCATCATGCTTCCGGACGAGTTATGATTGATACAGCGTTCTCTATTCTTAAAGGACGATGGAAAAGCATCCAGAATACACTGGCGACGAATAACACAAAATTTCTACCTAGTCATATATTAGCGTGTTGCGTGCTACACAATATGTGCATATTGAATGAAGATAAATTGGACTTGGAGGATCAGGCTGTTGTTTTAGACGCGGAAGAAGATTTTATAAAAGAGAAAAAAATTGACTGCAAAAATCGTTCTGCCGCTGAAATGAAGAGAAACAAAATATGTTCCAGTTTAGAAATGATTATTTGAACAAGTAAACTTATATATATATATTGTCTTATATATATATATTTTTTTTTTTGCTTTTACATGTATAAAAAAAAAATGCAACTGACTTTTCTAGTACGATCTTTTGGAAAATTCGAGTACCGTTTTTTTAGTTTCTTCTTGAAATAAAAAAGCCGTTGGATAGTTTGGGGTATTTTTTTATTTTTTTTATCGATCCTAGAATCCCTAGCAAACGCAACTTTTTGATTGGACGTTGAGAAATCCGCTCCGAGCTGTCGTCGCGCGACTCGCGGTGTGAAAATCCGCCATTAAAGTCTATTAGCTTTGTCCAGCGGAGCGAGGGAAAACAATCATCGATCCGCTCTCGGAACCCGATTGTTTCTCGGATGGAGTTTTGAAATCGCGAATGAACAAGATCACCGAGCTAATTGACCGTGTCATTTGTTTTTTTTCCTTTTAATATGCACACGTCCGTCAAAGACGTAAAGAAGTTTTAACACGCACGGGGCACAGTGCAGGAGTAATGGCAACTATGGGCGAGTCCCTTACTCTGGCAAGAGGTAAAGGTTTCGATCTGTTCCTAATTTAAACAACCAAGAATTACTTGGTAAACTTGATAATGCGAGTTTCACGAGTTTTTTTTACAACAATCTGTTTTAAAACAAAGTTTATTTTCTTCGCAGATGTCAAGAGATCGATAGAATTGTTGGATAAACTTCAAAAAGGTAAAAGAAATATATTGCGGTAATAATAATGACACAAGATGAAACAACACTACGGTGTCTATTTTTATTTTAATTTCGGTTTTCGTAATCGTTCGTTGGTTTTTTAGGAGGTGAGGTTCCCACGACAAAACTAGCAGCTTTGCAAAAAGTGTTACAAAGTGATTTTCTCAGTGCTGTGAGGGAAGTGTACGAGCATGTGTACGAAACTGTTGATATTCAGGTAAACTTATAAATAAAACCACTCGGCAGGTGATTGAAAATAGTACATGTAGTCTCATTAAATATTATAGATTTTTATTTTCGTCAGGGATCGCAGGACATCCGCGCGTCCGCGACAGCGAAGGCGACCGTTGCCGCTTTTGCGGCCAGTGAGGGTCACGCGCATCCACGTGTAGTCGAATTACCGAAAACGGAGGAAGGACTTGGTTTTAACGTAATGGGAGGTAAAGAACAAAATTCGCCGATTTACATATCCCGCATTATCCCCGGCGGTGTCGCTGACAGACACGGAGGTCTGAAACGCGGAGATCAACTTCTGTCCGTTAACGGAGTGGTTAGTAAAAAAAACTTTTGTTTTTTTTTCTGTTTATCTAAATATTTAACCGACACGGTCACGATAAAAAAATGGTTGCAGTGCGTGGAGGGTGAGAATCACGAAAAAGCGGTGGAATTGCTGAAGCAGGCTCAGAATTCCGTAAAATTGGTGGTGCGTTACACTCCGCGCGTTCTGGAAGAAATGGAGCTACGGTTTGACAAACAGAGAGCCGCACGCAGACGTCAACATATGCAATAAACCATCAAATGCTCGCAAAATGTTTGATTTGCGCGTTCATTGAGAAAATACAAAATTATTTACTATGATATCTATATACATATTTCATGACTATTTGCGCTCATATTTGTGTGTATATATACATAGTTAGACAGCATTTTATCGATATATATATATATATACATATTGTATTCATTGTTCTCATTTATCAATAAATATAATCTGTGTTATCGAAATGTGTTGCAACTGTGTGTGTGTGTGTGTATACAGGGTGTCTGAACAATTTTGACACAGCCGAAGTGTGAAGATAGATTGAATCAATCTAAACGGGAAGGTCGCGTATCATTTTGTAAAATTCGCGGGGTAGTTGAGCGATTAGATAATGTACGTGTGATCCAATGAGCGCGTGGGAAGCAACGGTCCCGGACTCTGTAGGCGTGTACAATTGTCATTTGTAAAGAAAACTGGCTTAATTCATTTGCAAAATGGTAGTTGAGACGATTTGAATGGCTGAAACCGGAAATCCGGTACTGTCTCGGTACTGTCGTACACCAAAGTCACAAGTTAAGCTGTCTAGGTTCAGCATAGACATCTGTGGTCTCCTCACTCCACAGCCATTGGGTTGTCAGGCAAGTGTCCCGCCAATCCCGCACTCAACGCTATCCCCATCCTGTTCGTTTTCCTTCCCTCGTGCGCGGTAAAATTCTTTTCTCAAATCGAACGCGGTACAGATTTCCATTACGCAGTTACGACCGCGTTCCGAAATTCACTGCCGTTCGCTGGAAAATCTATAGTATGTGTCGTACAAACTATATAGATTTTCCGTATCGACGGTAAATAACGGAACACAATCTACCGTCATTTTGTGCGCGATAGCCTTTATTGCCGAATTTTTTTTCGTGTGTTACTGGTTTAATTAAAGCACCGAGTTCTCCAGATGAATATGATCATTGCTGTAACACGTGTTGAGTCGTGGGAGCGTAATCGAATGTTTCGTGTCTAGACTATCGAGGTTCGTGGCGGTCCGCCGGCTGCCATCTTGCACGTCGCTCGTTTGAGAAGCCGGCCGCCCTCGAAAAACTCGCGTTTCACGCGTTGGCGCGGCCTCGGCAGTTTCACGAGCTAGTTTCGGACTCTCGCAACGAATTCAGGAATTCAACATACTTAATCTAAACAAGATACGGACCCGGGATGCTCTAGGTGAGTCCGAAAAAACCGAGCCCACATCTATTCCACGGATCGCGATGGCGTGGTGATTTACTGGAGGGTACATGTGTGTACGTGCCTTGTGCCTTTTGCATGTGCGGGACATTTGCTTCGTTGACCGGCAGTGCACTCATAATCATTTGTCGCGAAAGTCTAAGCACCAAGCCAAGTTTAAGAGAGGGATTCTTTCTTTTGTTTTTTTTTTCCGCGAGATTTTTTTCATGCGCCATCGAACGATTGTACGGTATATCGGTATACGGTATACGTTTTCGAGTTTTACCATTAACGATCCAATCGATATACGAAATTGTCGGGATAGTGCGTTCTATTGTGGTTAATGTAAGGGAATTGTTGGGGATCTGTATTTTCTATATGCGATAACTCCTTATCGCATCTTTCTGTATATTTGTTTGTTTTTTTTCTTTTTTTTTTTTTTTTTTTTTTTTTTCAAATTTCTATAGATCTCGCACTTTATCGCACAATTTCTTGATAATGGTGAGTCATGATTTGATGATTCTAGGACTTTTATAAGGTTCTACATGTGCAAAATTCTTTTCATACTAATATACACTTGCCTACGTATTTCAAACTTGCTGTTTTCTCTGTTTTTCATCATTTCACGCAATAGATGCAAAGATGACATTGCTTCCAAACTCATTTGTATCTCTTTATAAATCACATGTCTTCATATACTTAAATTTTCATATTCTTTAAATTGTACTTATTGCTTTTAGCTTATCATTTATTTTGTTTAATAAAGTTGTATTAAATTGTTTAGGTTTATTACTTTTCTCATATGTACGTAGCTGCGTGTACAGAGGAGATAAAGTCATTAATAGCTATAAGTTTGGAATAAACAATATAGACGGTCAATCAGCTACATTGATCAAGACGCTTAGAACTAGTAATTATTCTGAAAGTATGGCTCTACCTAGTCGAGCCCGTGTATATGCTGATGTAAATTCACATAAGCCGAGAGAATATTGGGATTATGAATCATATGTTGTTGATTGGGGGTAAGTGATATACATTTATATACATTTATATGCACAATAGAATAGTGCATATAGAACATGGTAATGCTTTTTATGTGACAAAGATCAACACAATGGTCAATCAATGCCTTCTTTTTTTCTAGAAATAATATACACACTCGGTAGTAGTAAAGCAGAACATTGATTGGTTACTGTGTGACTCATTTCCTAGCGTTGCCTTGTTCTATATACAGGAATCATTACTTAATTTTACATACATTGTTTTTTATATACATTGTTGGTTCTCTTCTAGGCAACAAGACGATTATCAGTTAGTAAGAAAATTGGGCAGGGGTAAATATAGTGAGGTATTTGAAGCAGTAAATGTAACTAACAATGACAAATGCGTAGTGAAGATACTGAAGGTACACACAAAAATTGTGTCATATTGCATTTGATAAATATCTGATAGAACAACACAGAAGATAATGGTTTTTGCAATGCTAATTCTACATTTTGTCTGTTATAGCCTGTTAAAAAGAAGAAAATAAAAAGGGAAATTAAAATTTTAGAAAATCTTAAAGGAGGAACAAACATCATCACTCTTCAAGCTGTTGTGAAAGATCCTGTTTCAAGAACACCAGCATTGATCTTCGAGCATGTCAACAACACAGACTTCAAGCAGTTATACCAGACCCTAACTGACTATGACATAAGATACTACCTCTACGAGTTATTAAAAGTGCGTGTATTGTTAAGTGCAATGGAACCAAATATCAGTCCGTGGTGAACCTTCGAGATTATTGTTTCGATAGATGTAGGTCTATATACCAGGTTCCAGGAAAAGCTCGAAAGATAATTCAATTTCTACGTTTTATTTTTCTCAGAGATATCGCTTCGTTGTCGCTTAGTTTTGTTTATGCAGCATTTTTGCAGTTTAGTCGACCATGAGTGAAAATAAAACTATTACACACATTTTATCTTGTTTTTGATAAAGTCATATTTTATACAATTTTTTGTTTGCCATTTTTCATAATCTAATTTTTGTAATCTATCATTTTTTATAATTAATTTATAATTTATTACTATAATTGTTACTAATTTTATTTGTTATAAAAATATTATCAGTAATTTAATTTGTATAAGATATTGTATTTCATAGAATAAGATAATATTGAAAATGATATCGAAAATGATACATGTAATAGTTTTTATATCTCGTTTTTTTTTGTTTTTTTTTGTTTTTTTTTTTTGTTTAGAGAAATTTTAAGAAAGAAATATGACTTTATTCTACTAAAACCGAGAAAGTAAGAGAGCGATAAACGTGTGAGGAAGATATTTTCTTTTCATCTTTTCAGATACAATCAACAAATTTCAAAGTGAGCAATATTTTGTATTGTGGATCTGTAAATCTTTTTTGTAAAATTAGGGTAGCAGGTTTGGTGCACCGAAATCGTAGACGCAGATATAGAGATTTTTTTAATATTTTTAATATAATTTTTATTTCTGTGTGCAGGCTTTGGATTATTGTCATAGTATGGGAATTATGCACAGGGATGTGAAGCCGCACAATGTTATGATAGATCATGAAAACCGAAAGTTACGGTTAATTGACTGGGGTTTAGCAGAGTTTTATCATCCTGGTCAAGAGTACAATGTACGAGTAGCCTCCCGCTATTTTAAAGGTCCAGAATTACTTGTAGATTATCAAGTAAGTATATTATTATTAATATGTGGGATAAAAAAGTGAGCGCGGAAAAAGTATAAATCATACATAATTATTTAATATTTCACAGATGTATGACTACTCATTAGATATGTGGTCGTTAGGATGCATGCTGGCGAGCATGATTTTCAGGAAAGAACCGTTTTTTCACGGACACGACAATTATGACCAATTAGTGCGAATAGCGAAAGTGCTTGGTACTGAAGAACTCTTTGAATATCTTGACAAGTATCACATTGAACTCGATCCTCGTTTTAACGACATCCTAGGTCGGCATTCCCGTAAACGCTGGGAACGCTTTGTACATTCGGAAAATCAGCATCTAGTGTCGCCGGAAAGTTTGGATTTTCTTGACAAGCTCTTGCGTTATGACCATTATGAGAGACTAACTGCGCGCGAAGCAATGGAGCATCCTTACTTTTGTAAGCATGTTTATATATTTACGTAGTGGCAGATGTTGAACTAGTTATGATAGTTCGTGTCGTCTCTGGGAAAGATATTGCTGAATCTTAAAAATCCTATTATGTACATAAAGATGTTCATATTCCGTGTATGTAATTTTTTCTTTTTTTTTTTCTTTTTATATTCAACAGTTAGCCTTTAAAACCTTGTGTTGTCTCTTGAAGAATTATTGCAATTATAAAATATCAAAGGTGTACGTGTCCCCCTATCTTTATGTTTATTTTCTTCTATTTTAGATCCTATAGTAAAAGAACAAGGTCGGTTGCAAATGGTGTCATCATCACCTACTCCCATGACAGGCTCAGTGCCTGTAGGTGAGTAGCGGCCCAGGTAATGTGTCATCATCTTAATCTACCTCTATTTCTATAACGATTAACATAGTTGTGTAACTTATTGGACATTACAAATTGTTTTATTGACATTTGTATTTCTTACGTATGTGTTGTACCGTTTTGTTTCAAATGTTACGATCGTCATTTTATATCCCTCGCTGCTATACGGACTTGACCCTTTTGGTGCGAGCAACGAATGTTATTCGTCGTTAGAAAATGCCTCCTTTCGAGCAGACGACGATGTATAAATTCGACGTGAAAAACCGAATGATCGTCGATTGCGGACGCTGTGCACGTAAAGCTCCCGAGTGCTCTTCCGTTTGAAGTACGCCGCACCGAGAGGGTTAAGATTGATGTATCGTTACGAAACAAATATATTCGCCTGTACAAATTTTTGCACTTACAATTAATCTGGAGATGTAATCGCGAATATTGTTTGCATTTTACATTTGACTATAAGTATAACTTGTATTTAAGGAAAAAAGAAACAAACGATGTAAGTTGTAAATATATTATTAAAAATAGAAAATATTGATTATATATACACATATACACTGTTTATTCGCTGTATTCCTCCGCTGACCACATCTCTGTCGTTTTTATCGAATTAGAGTAACAAAGGAGTAGAAAGAGTGTTAAGTCAGTTAATTTGAGATAATAAAAAAAAAAAAAAAAAAAAAAAAATAGAACATATATATATATACATATTAATGTTACGTGTGCACGGGGATATCTCTTGAATAAGATTAATCATTCTATTCTTTGTTTGAAGTGAATTAAAATGTGAAACAGTTAAGCATCGAATATCGATCATGTAGTAGATTGTATTGATATAATAAGAAGTCTCGTGTCAAAGTGATTTTTTTAACTAGGAGATTATTACAGATCGTGGTGTTACAATGAGCAGCGTATCGGTTCATGGGACAAACGGATTGGAAAGCATGGAGGAAATCGGAAGCGGGTGTTTGACCCCTTCGGAAGAACTGCCTCAACTTTTATAAGTTTAGCAATTCTGAACAACCCAACTCTCTCAATCTACTACAGAATATAACAATGCGACCGAAAATATCTCTTAACGTCATATGTTTCATATTCACATTCTTCTTTGCACCAAAATTGTTCTGGTTTGTATAACAAAAAAACAAAACAAAAAAACAAAAAAAAAACGGCTTTATCAATCCCGCCATTAAGACTGAAGTATCTTACTTTGCTGTGTCTTCTTTAAAAAACAAAAAAAAAAAAAACAATCCATACGAAATCCGCAATGTACTTAGAATCCAACAAAAATATAGAATTTTCGACGTAAAATTTGCGTGAGGATACATGCTCCGTCCATATTGGCCGGTGTGCATGCGATATCAAACGTAGCGCGCTGCTTCACTTCCGTTTATAAGATACACAAAATTTGCAATGCGCTCTACCATATATAAATATATATATATATGTATATATACACATATATATATATATACATAATATCTACTATTTTTTCTGATGTTGCTATTATTACCGTGTTTTTGGCAGATCTAATAAGTACGTAAGGAAAAAGATGCAGCTAGATCACACACGAAAACGCGCGCGCGCGCTCGACGGGTGGAAGTTTTAAAGAAAAGAACCACCTTTGTATTCGTATATGGTAACATTTGAGTCTGCGACATACGATGCTGTTTTTTGTGATAGATTGCATGCGAGCACCAGAATCAAATCGTGATTTGAAAATAAAAAAAATTGTCGAGTTATGATGCTTGTATGCGAGTTTTAACACGATAGATAAGCATTGTGCGCCGCAGACTCTGCATAGCATTCGTACACATACACACACACACACACACACACATATACACAACAAACAAACATAATACACAACTACACATACCTTTAGATCATTTGGTTTAGTACTTTTAACATAAAAAAAAAAAAAATGTTCGTTTATATCTGATACTATGATAGTTGAATAAAATGTTTGTTATAGCCAAGTACTCTTTGTGCTCTGTGAATACCTGCTCTACGTATCCAGCAATAGTGTACGTCGTTGTTCAACGTAAATGAAAAAAAAAAAAAAAAGAAAAAAAAGTCGGTAATCCGGAGCGACATATAAGATAAATAGTAATATTTTTTTTACTGTATGATAACGGTCGTTCCTGTTAGAAAACGAAAATAATCAAATATAGGAGCAGGTTGTGTGCGGTAAAAAAATTCATTCTGGTTATCGCAAGCAAAATTCACAAGCACCTCAAACACTTGGCGGAGAAAGCCTACAAACATTAACTGTGAAATATACATTCTAGTTTAAAAACATAGTACGTATATATATATATATGTATATATATACGTGCATATTTGTAAAACTTTGTGCGCTGTCAATCTTATGCCGATGACTCAAACTCATCCGCAAGAATTTTGTTTTCCGCGCTCTATACAATTTTGCTAGTACTTTACTTTCACGCATCGAACACGCAAATCCTTTCTAGAATGTTCTGTAATTACCGTTCTGTAATTACCGTTTGTGACAAGTCGGTGAGATTGTACCGAACCGATAAGTTCTTTATCACTTTGCGAGATTCGCAACATTGAACGAGTTAATTAATAAAAGATACGCGAGTAAGCGTGTGTCCGCAAGCAACGGGACAACCCAGGCATTTCGCGCGTTCGCGGTTGCTACGCGCGCGGCTAATCGATGGGAGAAAAAAATAACAATATATAATAAATATATAATATATAATAAATGGCTAATGATGAATAAACAAAAAGGCATGACTTTCGCATTTTGTAAAATCAAAATAATTGAAATTTCCAGATGTAATAACATGTGTGTTAATAATATCTATTTATTTGTTTACTTAATCTCATAAAGATGGAATCTCATAAAGAATTCCAAAAAAATAGAAATTTAAATTGAAATAATAATGCACTAAGTTTTCTACGTTTTTACATATGGAGAATATTTACATTCTAGTTTTTTTTATATACAAAAAATATATTTTACAATAATATAATTTGTAAAATATCCTTATGTTAGATTTAGAATGAAAATATCCTAAATATTGTAATATTGTAAATATTGATGTACGTAGATTGTATGTAGATTTGTAAATATTCTTTGTATATAAAAAATAGATGTTAGAAAATATCATCAGTGCATTGTCGTCGCTTTTGCAACGATATATGTAACTTCTATTTAAATTGTTTCGTATTTTTTATGGAAGTCTTTGCGTAAGTAAATAAATAAATAATCATTACCATCATCTCAAAACTTGAATTCTTTATTTTAATATAAAAAAAGGACGAAAGTCACGCTTTTGCGTTTAGCCATCGTTAAATAGCAACTGTGAAACACACGAAACGCTGAGCTGTTCCTTGTACTCGGATGCACGCTCATTCACGGATCTTCAGATTAATCAATAATTTATTGTTAATTATCGCAAATCTCGCAAAGACGTGGCAAAGGACTTTTCGATTCAATACAAATCTCTACTTGAGCCACAAGCGGCTATTACCGGACATCCTGTATGTACATATGGATGTGTGTAAGATCGAATCACACATGTTCATTCAATAGATTTTGTATATCAAACAAAATTTGTAAAGAATATATATAGGAATACAATACGCTCCATACTTTCTTGTATAATCTTGTAGTCTATGTTTTTATATAATTTTCCAAAGATTTTGTCTGTTTTTACACATTTTGTGAGTAAAGATGATTATTGGCGTGCGTATATGCCACCCGCGTCTTTTGATAAAAGAAACTGTTGAACATTATTTGATATTTTAAACTAGTGAACGCGTCTAGCGTTCTATATTATAAAGAAATACTCATGTGTGTGCTAAATATTAGAAATTGGAGAAAATTTTTTTATTTCTATGGATGTCCGCTTTCTGACATTTAGCAACAAATGCACAAACTAAGAAGCGCTGATTTGTGGCGTTGTTGAACTGACTAGTGGAAATGATTCTGTGTCTCTCGATGATCCACACAATATGGCAATCGTATATTCAGGTCGTCTAATTTTTGTTTTTAACTGCGATATTAACAAATTTCAATCGAATTATAATTTAAGTTTTGTGCAACAATATAACTACTTTTTATGAAGAGATACACAAAGCAATATATTCGCAATCGGATTTTATATTATTAATCCGTCGCGGACAGATATGGATCCCCCAGACCTACTCAAAAATTGCGCATCGACGTTCCTAACAAAAATTTTAGTTTTTTTTTTTAAACGTTTATATTTTCGAAACTACTAGAGATTTGTTCAGTTTTTTTTTTTTTTTTTTTTTTTTATCGACGCAGAATTGTTCAAACTTTTGACTCAAGAAAATAAAATAAAAAATCTATATTTTGTATTTTTTTGAATCAAAAGTTTGAAAAAATATAGATTTTTTGCGAACATATTCGATTTTGAAGTCGCGTAAAGCCTCACAGACTCAGTCTGTCCAACTAGTCGTCATTTTTGAGGTCTGTCCACGAAAGATTGACATTTTAAGTTCATCTTAAGATGCACGGATCATCTCTCATTGACTATACCATACACACCATCTTGAGATAAACTTAAGACGATTTTTAAATATAAGATCGGACTATAAATACCGGCCATAATATTGATATTTATTATTATGTACAAAATAATAAAAATGTATACGACACGCGTAAGATTCTGCTCCGATAAAAAAAAAATTATGTAAAATACGACTGACTGACTTCTTATAGTGACTCGAGGACTCCAACAAATCCGTCCACATGCCAATCTACAAATGTCTCAAGCATATATACATTTCAGATTTTAACTATCAATAGATAGTTACTTACAGTTTTAGATGGAATTTTTTTCGAACCATTGTGCTATTGCTGATTATTGATAATTTCGATATTGCTGGTGTAAATTGTGCAATATTTTATCGGAGATCTGATATATAGGTTGCGATATTCACTACTGAAACCAATACTGATGCGAACTTTTTTTTTTTAAGGCGAAATTGATCGACTCATAAATCGGTGAAAATAATTTAAATCAATCACGCGGAACTTACTTTTTAACGCATTGCTCGAGGGATTAAATTACTCAGACTTAAATAATTAATTTAGTAATAATTACTAAATTGGATTTAATATAATTATATAAACAATGTTATATTAACACATCATAAAATGCAATATAGCAAACATACGTTGTATGCCAAAGTTGTTTTTTGTTTGACAATTGAAAATTGGAGTAGACGTTAAAATATTAATATTGCGGTGCTTGTTTAGTTCTGTAAATAACCATCAAAACACACTCTAAGACTTTTTTCCTAATGCTTTCTGTGTCAATTCGGTCTTCTTCTGCTGTGCTAATTCTTTTTGTTTCTTTTCCTCTTCTCGGCGCTTCGCCGCTTCCTCCCGTTGCTGCTTTATTATGGCTAAACGCGCTAAATCCGCTCGAGCCTCATCCGTTTTACCAGCGGCATGCAACTTCTGGTAGTTCGCGTAAGCTCTTTGTTTTTCCAATTGTTCCCTAAAAATTGACACGCGCAAGCGTTATCAAGCGATGACAAGAAATCGTGAAAAATACAGTATTAAAAAACAATTACAAAACAAAATAATTTAAAGCTGTGTACATACCGTTCTCTTCTAGATAATTCCGGTTTTGAGGAATCTAACGATTGATTCAACTGAGAAAGTTTCTTAGCTTTTTTTTGTACCCTGTTTGGATTTTCTACTTGGATTAGATTTTCTACACCTTTTGCTTTTCCTCCCTGAGAAAATAACAATAAAAAGTTATTGCACAAAAGTTTTTACTAAATTATATAAAACTCCTTTTCGCACAAATATATATATGTATATATATATATATATATATATATATTTTACCTCAGTTTCCGAATCCTCGTCTGACTCGCTTTCATCACTGTCTGTGTCGTTTAAATTTAACTTTTTAGATTTACTCGATTTGGGTTCTTCGTCATCTTCTTCCTCCTCACTGGAACTGATTTGTCCTTTGTTCTTCTATAAAAAATAAGACACAATTGCAACTGTCAAGTCTGAAGGAATTTAAATTTTAAGCAATAATACACGAGCGTTCCGTCTGATCATCGATACGATATTTATTTAACCATGCGATTGTCTATAAAATAACCTAAAAAATACCGACTCTCCACTGTTGCTTCTTTTCCTCTTGAAGACGTTGTTCTTCCAATTCTTCCGGATTCGTGAAGTGTCGACTTCTGCCCTTGTGATTCACGAATTTTCCTGCGCAATAAACAGAACGACAATTACATCAGACATACATATATCTTTACTGGCAAACAAGAAGAGACGAGTGCACACATAGTGTCATCTTGGCAAGTGAAAGAGAAAAATATATGTAAGATTGTATGCGAAAAGAACAATATCGCTTACCTCGCGGCATTTTGGTACGAGTGCAAGTTGCGTTAATTCAAATTAGAAAGTAAACCCGAATGGACTCCAATTTTTCTCTTTGTTGTTTCCGCCGCAACGAAAAGGAATCTTCCTCTTGCGTGTCTTACGTCAACTCCGACAACGATTTCACGCGGTTTGGTTAGTCGCAACCTCGGGGAGAGAGCGAGAATGGATATTTAAAGCCCGTCCACACGCGTCCACGCACGTCCGTAAAATTCGAAGATTTCATACAAACACCGAGGTCGCATCATTCGAAACGTCATTTTGTTTTCTTCGTGTTCTGAGGGAGGGAACAAAGATAGAACGATCTTTCGAAACACACAACACACACACATTTGTAGCGCCGTTTCAACCGCGGTTGTAAAAAAAGACGTAAACAGCAAATAAAAATTAAACAATCGCGTTTCTAACGAAAAATACGCGTTTGCGCGTATGTACACAGATTAGTTTGATGGAAAATGTTTACATGTGTTATTGTTTTTACGAACTGCGATGTGTCACGACTACTGGCCGTTCGGAGGATCAAACTCTTGAATGATGTATCCGAAACGTTCGCACGAGGTTGAAGTTTAGTTCAGCGTGCGAGAGAAAATTCTTTAACACTTTGACGTGGTGTGTTAAGGTCATATTCCGCTGTGGAATTTATATATATATATATATATATACACGCACATATATGTATATACAGAAAAATTGATAAAAAATTGGTTATTTGGCGGTTACATATATTTTATACCTCAAAAACTCAACGCTTCCTCTGCGAAATTGTTTTCAGAAAGATCGCATATTTTGCAAGACCGGAGAAATGTGCACAGGTGTAAACAGAAGTGTCGAATTACAAACGTAAAAAATTGAAAAAGAAAACGCGATCCTTATCTGAACGTGTTACGATTAACAATTGGATATTGAAGATTTTATAATGTAGAGAAGTATCTGAGATCACATTCTTTTGTACTCACTTGAACTGAATGAGAAAAAAGAGAGTGAAGATAAAAAATTGAAGTTTGCTTAACGTTTTTATCTGTGTAGTGAGAAAAAAAATATGCGAGTGTCGTGGAGCTCATCCAATCCTAATCTAACTTGATAATATTCAACTTGACCCTATTTTAGAATCGCTTTTAGAATCAGTTTTGATAGTTTCGTTTTTGGTTTTTTGTTTTGCATCATCGGAATTGAGAAGCAACAATGGAATCTGTATCTAACAAAGTGGAGTATCGGTCAATTTATTAACTGTTTTTTTTCCTGCGCGATATGTGATTTGTTGTTTAGATTGTATTTTGTTTTATAGGACGAACAAAACAATCAAGAGGATTCCGATTCTTCAGAAATAGATGAAATAGAGCCCAGATTGAAATATGTCAGAATACGCAATGATCTGGAACATATTCTTCAGAATGATGCAGCTAGTTGTATCGCTGTACATCCAAAGGTAAGAATTTACATAATAAGAAAATTTCATTTTAGAAGTCGAACATTTTATTTTTTATTATTTTTGAAAAATTGTTATAAATATTCTAATACTATCGATGTAATATTCTATTTTTATATATATATGTTTATTTTTTTCAATTTAATTCTTTCTAGTTCCTCTGTCTGGGATCACACTGGGGAATGATTCATCTTTTGGATCATCAAGGAAACAATGTGAAATCTAAAACACTGCAAGCACACACAGTGGCGGTAAATCAGATTTCCATAGACCAAAATGGAGACTTTATTGCTTCTTGCAGTGATGATGGAAAAGTTTTTATTTATGGATTATACAGCACAGAGAATAATCATAACATGAGCATGGGTAGACTAGTCAAGAGTATAGCAATTGATCCGAATTATTATAAGAACGGCAGCGGCAGAAGGTTTATCACAGGTAATTTATTGGAATAATTATGGATACAAGGTTTTAGCTAAGAATTATAAACTATAATTTCTCAAAAAAATTTATACTCTTAACAAACAAATTTATAGGCGATGACAAACTCGTGCTTTATGAGAAAACTTTTCTGGCCAGAATGAAGCCAACGATACTTTGTGAAGCCGAAGGTGGTGTTAGATCTGTTGCATGGTGCGGTCGTTTTGTGGCATGGGCATCCGATACAGGCGTGAGAGTTTATGATCTTGACGCCAAGTGTTCATTAGGACTCATTAAATGGTCCCGTACAGCAGAGTAAGCGTAATAGAAAAATTAACATTAATGCTGATACGTTGCGAAGTGTGTCGAGAAAGTTTTAACGCCGAATAAATAGTAAATAGAAGAAAACTTGTAGAAATTTTTTTGTTAGTTATCTTATCTAAACTTTTTGTTATCTTATTTTATCTTTCTTCAAAGCAATTGCTGTATCAGAATATATTCGAGTTCTAATCTAATTTCCGTAAAAGCAAAACTATTACTTGATTTTACACACATATATATATGTATATATTATATACTTTTGTAAATTATCTCAGCGCATCGCCAGAGCACTACAGGTGCAATTTGCAGTGGTCGAATGATAAGACATTGCTGATCGGATGGGTGGACATTGTGCGCGTTTGTCACATCAGGAAACGCACCATGCAAGAGATGATCAATCGGGATTTACCTGAATTTGTAGTGGATCCAGGTAATCAGTAAAGTATATATATATATATTCTTAAACATATTTCTATATAAGCAAAAATTAAACAATCGATGTATATAAACTTGGATCGTAATACAGGATATTTTTTTAAGTATGAGAATTATTTTTAAAACATTTATTTGTTTTTTCCAGTGTCAACGTTCCAAGTAGATTTTTATATATCCGGTATAGGACCGCTAGGAAATCAGCTGGTATTGCTGGGTTGTTTAAAGGAACCGGACGAAGATGGAAAGAATCAACGTCCAACCTTGCACGTGGTTGAACCAAAGTATCAAGATTTCTCAGTGGTGTGTGCGAATTCGCTTACTCTACGCGGCTACAAAGAATACAGCTGCAACGATTATCACTTAGATTGTTTGAAGGAAGAAAATAGGTACATCATAGTGACATTGATTTAATTCTTTTTTTTTTTTTTTGTATACTGTATGTTAAACTAATGTTTATTTACTTTTTGTGCTAAAATTTGTATAGGTTTTTTATCGTAAGTCCGAAAGACATCGTAGTAGCTAGTTTGTATGACACAGACGATAGAATAGAGTGGTTGTTGAATCATGGCAAGTTCGAGCAAGCCTTAGAAGCGGTAACGACGAACAACGGCAAGGATTGTAAGAGGCACACTGTATTAGACGTCGGGCGTATTTATCTGGATCATTTATTGGCGTGCGAAAAGTACGACGAGGCTGGAAAACTGTGCCTCAAAGTTTTAGGACGGAACAAAAAATTGTGGGAAGAAGAGGTGAGAGATAACGAGGCATATTATAATATATTTGTGAGCAACTCTATTGGCAGTTTTATCCAAGTTACATCTCTTCATATCTGTTGATTTTTTATCTATCGCTATATAGAAAATTTATTATTACGTAATATATCACGTAAAATTATTTCGTATTGCTACACGTTATTTTTTCTTGGCGAGACAGGTTTATAAATTCGCCAGGGTACATCAGCTGCGCTCAATCTCGTCCTACTTGCCTCGAGGTGATGTCACTCTCGATCCGCTCATCTACGAGATGGTTTTGTATGAATATCTGAAGATGGATCCCGACGGTTTCCTGCAACTAGTCAAAGAGTGGTCCCCGAGTTTATATACGGTCGCGGCCGTTGTCAATGGCGTACTGGAACATCTATTGGTCCACAGTCAACGGCAAAATGTATTATTGGAAGCCTTAGCTATTTTATACATTCACGACGGCAAGTACGATAAAGCGCTCGCCATGTACTTGAAGCTGCGGCACAAAGATGTCTTCCAATTAATCCAGAAGTACCAGTTGTACAATTCGGTGTACGACATGATCGAGGGTCTGATGGATCTCGACACGGAGCGTGCCATAGAGTTTTTTCTGGAAAAGGACAGAGTGCCGTCTGATGTTGTTGTACAAAAGCTGCAGCATAATCATCGTTATTTATATTTGGTAAAGATTTATGAAAGATTATGCTTTCATATCGCAGTCTGATCGCGTGTGTGTTGTATCTTCGCTTTTATCAAGTTCTCTTGCCAAAAACATAAATCGTGTCAAAAGTGTTTTCACTCCGTATAAAGATTCAATTATATAATTCAATTTGTTAGTATTTAGATGCCTTAGACAAGAAGGACATGAAGGACTCGAAAGGCAAATATCACGGGTTGCTGGTGCGATTGTACGCCGATTATTCGAGAGATAAGTTACTGCCTCTTCTACGCCGCTCGGATAATTATCCGATACAACAAGCTTTGGATATATGTAGTCAACGCAGATTTTATCCGGAAATGGTGTACTTGCTAGGCAGAATTGGAAATACGTCAGAGGCTCTGGCGCTTATGACGAGAGAACTCAACGATATGGAGAGCGCGATCGCATTTTGTCAAGAACATGACGATGAGGAATTGTGGAACGATCTAATCAATTATTCACTTGATAAGCCCAGTACGAATCATAACATAAATTCGTATGATAATAATTTTTATTTAAACTGTGCACCAATCAAATGTCGTTTGTGTTACATAAGAAATAATCTTTTGCTCGTTTTAGAGGCTATCACATTTCTTCTCCAAAAGATCGGCACTTACGTCGATCCCCGGCTCATGGTACAAAAGATAGACCCTACCTTGGTGATCATAGGATTAAAGAAAGCGTTGGTCAAGATGATGTGCGACTACAATCTGCAAGTGTCCGTGCAGGAAGGTTGCAAAAAAATACTATCCAACGATTACTTCAATCTTCACGAACGACTTGTTCGTTGTCATCAGAAAGGCATATTTGTCGACGGTAATATATGCGAGATTTCGTATAATCTCTGGTTTTTTTAATTAAGTAAAAAGTATATCCATGCATTTTTATAGAAATAATAAAATTTATAACTTTCGAGTAAATATATATATATATATATAATTGTTATATATAAAAGAAACAAGATTATCATCAGCAAACTTCGGTTTTACTAGATGACCAAATGTGCGGAGCTTGCCATAGGAAGATTATTGTAAGAGGTATTTATAAAATATATAATTATGTAATTTTACTTGTATTTTACATACTTTATTATATTTATTTGGTTTTTCAGAACCACGAAATATGGTTGTATTTTATTGCAAGCACTGTTTTCACGAAGATTGTCTATCCGACTTTGAATTAGTCGTATGTGTCAAGTTGTTTCTTGATATTTATAATTGTTCTATAAATTGTTCTATTGTCATCGTATTCGTTATTTTTTTTTTTTTAGGAGAATTGTGTGATATGCAACTCGCAGAAACAAATTACACATGGAAGGAAGTGATGAAATTTGGATTTAAATCGAATGACGTGCAATATCCAAGACACACTCGAGGTATCATGTTTCACTGTGACTGAAATTTCGTTTGCGGTGCGATAAATAAATAAATAAATTTTTATATATAATAATAAATAGAGAGAAAGAGAGAAAGAAAAAGAGAGATGAAAAAGAGAAAGAAAAAAAAGAGAGAGCGAGAAAGATTAAAAACCTCAAAGAATCCTTCATATCCTTGAAAAAAAAACAATAACTAGGATAGGAAATAATATAAGATTTTAAATATACCCCTAAATATACATATAAATGTCAGACAACATTCACGAATTTCAGCGTTTTTTATTTAAACAAATTTGTATTAGTTTTATTTTGCTGTTAATTTGATTTTTACACAAGTGCAACGAATCGTATAAATTATATTTCTGTATTTATATTAGATGTAGTTTGCAAAACACAATTTTGCATTTTTATTATCATTTTTATCAATTCTCACAAAGTTGTTTGTTGTCCCTTCGATAGTGGTCATGTTACTGACATCAGAACGCTTCGGGGCGATTGGTAGTATCTTTTGATCTTGGTTCACTGACGAATCCTTTAAAGTACTGTATTGTGAACTCGATGACGTCATCAGGCTTCACTGATTAAACATCGACAATAAAAGTCAAACTATCCTATTTCGACAGCTAATATGATTAACTCATTAATTGAGTTTTTACCGACAAGAAGGGTCATGACATAATCTGCAATCAGCTGTTTTATTTCAGGATGGTCCGTCAAATAATCCGTGTACTGAGCTAAGTTAAAAAATTGTTACAAGAGCATCTTGCTAATTAGTAACATTTATACAAGACGTGGTAACTTATATATATAAATTAAACATTTTATAAAAATTATTAAACCTTCTCCTACATTTTTCAAATACTCAACGACACGACGGTTTTGTGTGTATTGTTTTTTTTATGAACAATATTTATTAACTATAAAGATTATAATTGCTAGTTTATATAAAATTAGATCGACAAATTTACCAGTGCATAGTGTAGGAATGCATTTGAGAGAAATGAATGATTCATCAAACAGATTTGACGCCATATTGATAAATTTCACGCGCAAACGTGTGTAATTCTTTTCTTAAATTCCAGCTGGGTGGAGGGGAGGATTAAAAGTGTTTTTTTTAGGTTCCTATGGCAAAATCGTCATTTAAAAAAAACTCGAATCTTCAACAATTGACTATATTAATCTCGTAGTCATTGGCATGTGAGTCGTCGACATGAAAAACTCAACTACTTTGAAAAAAAAACTCGTCTTACGCGCGCACACATGCGAGTTGCCTAGGACGTCGGGTAGCACTTTGCAGAAATTGCATCCGAATGCGGCGTTTTACATCCGCTGGAAGCGAAATCTTCAGAAACTCGTTCTGGTCTCACCCCGACATCCTTTGACGCCGGTGATTTTGCGCAGCCAAGCGGCTGTCACTTTCGAAAGGAAGAGACACTCGAGATCGTCCAATCGATGGATAATTCATCCCTGCAGTATGTTGAGGTATGAAAATTTAATTGAGGGAAATGTGTCGAGATATTGCGTGTACACAAATATACATTGTACACATAGAAAAAATTGTTCTCACAGATTTTACTGGGACGTGATAATGACCGTCACATTTCTGTATATTTTTGTGACGGTTCCATATATTGTGTGTTTCCATAGAATTGGACTGAGTTGTTACGTTCAGCACTGGAACATTGTTTACCCAGCTTTTGTCTTTTGTATCATCGATATATTTTTAAATTTCGTCACCGGATTCGTGAGTTCGGACAGACGCGAGGTCTTTCTTGACAGTGTGTTGGTGATGCGGTATAAATTTATTTCCAAATGACTTTTATTACGTCAAGCGAAAACACCGCCTATACATTTTTTTTTATATTTACACAGACATTATGCAAAAGGATATTTCTTCGTCGATCTCATCACTTCGATACCGTACACGTGGTTCTATTCGGGACGTATTTTGCAGCCCGGTCCGGATACGAATTACGCGATTCTTATCCTCGAATTTCTGCCAATTTTGAAAATAATTCGCATGCCTACAGTACGATACAACATTCGGCAAATTAATGCGGTAATTAATCATTACGTCACAGATGTCTTTATATAGATATATTTTGTTAATGCGGATCTTCATTTTTAAATAGATGTTCGGAGTCATTCAAGCTCGAGAGACGACGATATGGCTATTCATTTTAACGCTATTGATCTTTCACTGGAGCAGCTGTATAAGTTACGTTTTCCCGTTTATGGTCAGACATGTGGAAAAACAATCGATGATCGTACGTTCGTTTGGATTTTCACTATAACGTGCACTTCTCTTGTTTCGTGCAACATACGATAATTTCAGGATTTTCATTACTATGCGACACAATTGGAAGACGTTTCCGATTGGAAAATTTACGTGACATTCGTACATGTCGGAGTGAGCAATTTGATCGGATCCACTTTTACGGAATTTGAACACTTCGGACTTTTGGACAAAATTATACGATGTATACTTTTGTTCATAGGAAAGGGCTGTGCGATTTATTTGATCGGTATATTTCTCACAATTATAATCTATTTTATTTCTTCAGTTTTTCTTTAATAAGATAAAATGTATTAATTTGTATTTTTCTCGACGTTCTTATACGTAACAGTTACAATCTTGGATCTTTTGGAATCGCCGACCAAACTAGAGCTGAAACATCAGCAAATTATGCGTCAAGTAAATGAATATATTTGTCAGAAAAAACTTCCACGATATCTGCGAGACAAACTGATTTTTTACTACGAGTGTCGCCATCAGGGCAATTTTTTCCGGGAAAAACTGATCACCGACACTCTTTCCAGTTAGTTAAATATATAGAAAGTTTTAAATGTGACGAAAAACGTTTAAAAAAGTATTACATATCTTCTAAGTGTGCGCGCGTTGAAGAATTTTATAGAATCATACTTTTTTGTGTTTTTTTTTTTTCTAGGATACTTAAATCAAGAAATTCTACTACGCAGTCATGATTTGTTCGATGCAGATATCTTCCGAAGTCTAGCCTCTAGCGTTCTTGCCGATTTAATAAGTAAATATTTTTTTGTGTCATGTTAATAGCAACACACAGCAACGATAATAATAAAAACAACAACAATAACAATAGTGGTCAGTAGCTTTTGGCATAATTTTCGGTTATTGTCGATTTTAACACAATCAGAGAATTTAAATTTTTTTCACCAATAGAACACACAATCCTATCGTAGGATCATCTTATGATGTTCTTATCGTAGGCAAATTGAAATCGGTGATATATCTCGAGGAAGATGTTATTTACAAATTCGGCACCGAGGGTGACTGCATGTACTTCATAGCCAGCGGAAGTGTAGCGCTGATTACGTGGTCGGGAAAAGAAGTAAGTGAACGAAGACAATTTGTGTACGCAGAACAAATAGAGTAGCGCGTGTGATTTTCTTGTCCAGAACAAGACGAGATCAGATACTTTTGCTTCAAATAACACACAAATTCCAATTTAATAGACTAGATCCGTTTTTTTTTTCAGATATGTCACTTAGACGACGGTGATCATTTCGGCGAAGTAAGTCTGGTCTGTCCCGATCAGCACAGAACGGAATCAGCCATCGCTGTGGAAGTGTGCGAGTTGCTCCGTCTGGATCGTCGCGACTTCCGATGGCTATTTCCTGTTGGTTCGGAATTTTACAAGATCTTGGAACGTGTTGCGCAGGAGTATCTGCAACGGATCAAGAAACTAAACGATCAACCGTTCAACGCGCGAGAAACGACCTAAATAGTTGCGTTCGTGTTCTCGCGAATTAGTGCGATCGTCCTTGCGCGCTATGAGTGTAATTAAACAATATTAGAGGCACAAATTACATTGCGCGAAGCGAGAAGCGCAAGAGAGAACGGCCGTATATTTGTGTGACCCGGCATTCCTGCACGTCCCTTAAAAGATACTAATAAGCGATGGTGTGTATAAACGGTATCCGATATACCGCTACATGCAGAGCAACGATTTTGCACCGTAATAATTTTAATGAGCTATCGCGCTGTAGTTGTTTGCCTAATTGCCAAACAATTTTTAAACAATTGAATTACTTTAAGTTTTTTTAATCGGTCGAATTTATTCCAATTTTAACGCGCATTAATATTTGCGACTTTAAAAACAGTTTTGTTTCTTCTAATACAAAGTTTTCGTCAAAAATTACAATCCGGAATAGAAAACTACGGTCGTCGTGCACAAATAAATTTTCTTTTCGGATCGGCGATCGAAAGCAGAGATAAGAGATAACATAGAGTGTGGATGTAACTGACATTGTCGGAGTAGTGCAATTCGAAGCAGTCCGAACGTAAATATGTGACCGATATACAAGCGCGAAGAGAGGCGCACCGCTTATCTATTTCTCCCACTGACCTACTAAAATCGCCATGTGCCCGGTACGATTCTCGAAATAACATCGTCGTTGAGAAGAGAGAAACCGGCCACTCTGTTTGATTCTACAGCAACGGAAAAACGACAACAACGGGGGAAAAAAAAGAGGCACGAACGAACTCGATAAAAGGATAGTCGTGTCGGCGAAGAATGAAAAACGAGCACCGGAGATCACGATTGATCCAAGTTAAATGGACTCGAATGAGGCGAGTGCTGACTTTTATCGCCCTTAATATATGTTACGACATATATACGTTCGCTCGCTTTGTTACGTATCCGCACATCATCGCGGAAAAATCCGTGGCGTCGTTCCGATATTTTAAAAATGGTCGTCAATTTTCTGTTTCAGTTGTTTACACGCGATTCTCTCTCAAAGAGCTTCTGACAAAAATCTCTCGCTCCAGTTATATATAATATTTCGATCGAAAATTGTATCCCGTTTGCAAACCGCCACGTTCGAATTGCGATTTCGAACGACGATTGCTACACACGATTGATGCATGAGTTTCCTGTATGAATTACGCTTGCATAATTTTTTTCTGTAATATAATGTTGACATTAGCGACGTCTTCTTCTGTTGTGCCTGCGCACACATGCGTCTTTTAATCGTATCAAGATGCGTTGCATTTACGCGTGCCTGATTCACACTCGGAAAGAGGCGGGAGAAACGTTTATTGCGCAAAAGACTCCTGTTGTTTCATGCCGCGGAAACATTGCCGCGTGTTGATGCAACATTCAAAAATACCCACGATATAAGGAACGGTAAACGATCGCGTGTGCATCAACGTGCAAGCGCGATGCGTGCAGACGAGGCTTGCGTAGCTGCAGAGGCAAACACAGTTATGTAACTATCATATTATCGCAATATAATTAGACCGTGACCGATAATATAAGAGGAATATTTTATCGAACCGAAATAATTTTTTACTTCGAGTGATAAAACGAAGTCACCGTTTAACACAGTGATTTCAATACTCAAATATTATTTATTTTGTGCTCATTGGAGTCTCGGAAACTTCATACTCTTCAAGAACAGACCGAGACTAGGCTTCGATCAACCGAATCCCAGTAAATCGGATTTTATACACCCGAGTCAACAAAAGTTAATTTCAGAAAAAACTGCCTATACACAGTATAGTAGAAAGTAACGTACTCTTGCAATATTGATATAACAGCGGTTAGCACTTATTACAAGCGTTATTTCTGTTATATATTTCTGTGTTTGCTAGGTGGTAGGGATGGTACAACGTTGCTCCACGAGACTCAAGGCAAAATATTAACACGGATACGTTGATCTCAAGGTTTTCCCGAATTTCTCGAAGCAGCTGTCGTCCAAATATAATTTGATAATTTTAAGTAGCTAAATATAGCTTAAAAATAGTCTTTGATTAGCTTAAATAAATAAATAATATTCAATTTTTTTTAATGTAAAAATATTTGCGTGAGAATATTTTCTTTTGCAATATCGTAATAATTTATTAAAATTAATTGCATCATTAAGCAATAATTCGATGTGCATCTCTCGAGCTCGACCGAGAGTCAGCGCGCGATTAGGTCGCAAAGGGTCCGCTTGGTTTCACAGCGATTACATCACTTGACCGAAAATTCATGGCGGTTCAGCAGAGCAGCTCGGCAGTAATATTCGCATCTCCGCTTTGGTCATCTGTGTAAACTCCGGGTGTTACATGGGCGTCGTCTTCCCCTTGGTGTGCCCGTGCTGTGTGTAAATATCTCTTTGAATAAGCGGGTGGGAGATGGACACCTCCCTGACTGACGACGATGGCTGGAGACGCCGCGCGTGTCTCTCTCGTCAGTCAAATCGCGGTCGTCGTTCTGCGACTATTCGTCGCTTGATACACAAAACGCCGTGCTTACTGTCGCGCGCGCTCTCGACCTGCGTGCCAAAAATAAATTTCTCTCGTTCTCTCTCCTCTCGTCAAGTATTTAATTAAACAAACGTATTGGTGAGAACCTCTCTCTTCCGGTGTTGCGCGCCTCACGTCAAAGTTCTGTGACTCCACGAACATTTTTACAGGTCTAAAAATAGAAAATCAAAAAATAATTTGAAAAAATTGAGTAACAATCGTTCAAGAAATTCTGGATTCTGGAATGTTTTGTTATTGAGATTTTGGACGGATCTTTTTCGGGTTACCATGAGATAAAAAGTAGTGAGTCTATATATACTTAATATTTTTTTTCCATTTATTTGTGGATTCGATTTTTCAAATATTGAGACACATGCATTTGTTTATGTGTATGTAAAGGAGTAAAATTTCTTTCTGTAGGAGAGATACAAGTATCGTGACAATTAGTTCGTACTTAATTGCATATTTATTATTATATTGTTAGTGTGTTAAATAGAAGAAAAAAAGTATATTCTTACTTTGTATGTTTTCTCGACGCATATTCCTGTTGTTACATATACATATCTTATTCTTTGTTTCTGAAAAAAAAACAGGATATAACAATTCGGTGTATGATATCAAAAGAAGAAATCCGAGGAGCGGTGCCGCGTCAAAGACACCGTACGTCGTACAACTGACTCCAAGCATCCGCAAGATGATGAGGCAATTGATACCGCTGCTTCTTCTGGCGGTCGCGGTGTTGTCTCACGAGCCGTTCAAAGTGATATTCGAATGGAAATCTATCGACTTCGAATGGCTGTCGGACGAAGTGCGGCAGTTCGCCGTGCTACGCGGTGATTACATACCGGCGAGCAACTTCATAACCACGGTGAAATTTTGGAAGGACAAGATGTATTTGACGCTGCCGCGATGGAACGACGGCGTGCCAGTGACGCTGGCGGTCACGTCGGCGACTCCGGTGAACAACGTGACGGCGCCCAAGTTGGAACCTTATCCCGACTGGAATATGCAGAAGCTGGGCGACTGTTCGGCGTTTCAGTTGGTCCACAGTATCGAAATTGATCCTCGAGGTCGCATGTGGGTGCTCGACACCGGACGGCCAAAAACATATCGACAGTTTAAAGCCTGTCCGGCGCGTCTTGTTATTCTCGACCTCGAGGACAAAGGCAAGATTCTTCGTACATACGAGTTTCCCAACGACGTGGCCAGTCTCGACGACACATATCTCAACGACATCGTTCTCGATCACGAGGACGGTGTGATGGCGTACATCACCGACAGCGGCAAGCATGATCCGGGCATCATCGTCTACTCGTTGCAAAACAACACTTCTTGGAAGGTCCGACACGATTCCATGAAGGCGAAGTCGGAAGCGGCAGGTTTCATGGTGGCGAAGACGCACGTGATCAATAAGATGAACGTGGACGGCATTGCGCTTTCACCGGCGAGCTGCAGCGAAGAAAAATGCGAAAGGTATCACCTAATGAATATTGTTCTCACGTTAATTAACACTATTTACGTAACATTTAATTTCAACATTTATTTTTCTGTTTGTTTTCGTTGTCTTTTTTTTTTTAAGTTTGAATTTTTTTCGCAGCTTTCATCTTCCCAGAAATATCTCACGTGTAAAATCGTGTAAAATCGTTTTCAGTTTTTCATCGCGCTAGCGTATGGGAATAAATTTTTCAACGGCATTTTTTTTTATACTTTAGTTAGTCCTTGTTTTCGCAAAATTGGCCGAACGAAACAACAATGCGCGATCTTTGTTTCAGACAAATCTACTACACGCCTTTGTCCTCCTTCCACCTGCACTCGGTCTCGGTGGACGCGCTGAAGAACAACGCGACGCGCATTAATCCCTACGTAAAAGAGCTCGGGCGAAAATCTTCGCAGACCGACGGTATGATGATGTCATCCACCGGTGTGCTTTACTTTGGTCTATTGGCCGACGACGCTATCGCTATGTGGGATACAAAGACCGCTCCGTCCTTCACCATCGGTCAGAGAATCATATCACGCGATCACGTATTGACGCAATGGCCTGCCAGCTTCTCGTTCGACCACGAGGGCAACTTGTGGTGCGTCACTAATATGCTGCAAAATGTTTTGAACAACAAAGTCAACATTAACGAGTCCAACTACCGTCTGATTCGAGCACGCGTGGGTTTTAAAAGTTATCTGTATTACGAGAACGGTACGGCACCTGAATGGCCGGATGTCACCGCGGACGCCGAGTCCGTAAAACTCACGTTCGCCTCACTTCTAATCGTCGTCTTAGCGCTCGTTGCAAAATAGTCGCATCTTAATGCGTAGAAAATCTTTATCGGGAAGACGGTATATATGATTTACGTGTTACAATATTTTTGCGCTGAAGTTTTTATTATCAACACACATACGATGAACCAATAGTGCGCCCGTTGTGATAAATGATTACGATATATTGCATTATGTATCAGTATTCAAAACACACACACATATACAGAGAGAGAGAGAGAGAGAGAGAGAAAGAGAGAAAGAGAGAGAAACAAATCGATATCTTAAGACATCTTTTGAGCGCATCTATTTTTTTTTTGGAGTATTATAATATTAATATTTCACAAAGGATCATATTGAACGAACATTGTTGGTTTTAATAATTTATACGTACATAAATAAATAACTTGAGATTTCATACTGAAGTAGCTGATTGGATCATGTTTACATTTGAAGCACGTTTACTTTGTAAAATGTTTTTTTTTAGCACGTGCATTTGTTATAAGTACAACAAACCTATTGTTTTTGACGACATGATAAACACAGATAAATGCAAACAATACGTACGATAAATAAACAATCTATACATTTTTTTTAAATCACTTCTCAATCATTTCTTTTAAATCACTTTTTTAAAACACTTCTCGGTAAAAAAAAAACAAAAAAAAAAAAAAAATAAGTTGCTTAAAAATTTCACTTAAAGCAATTTAAAATCAAATTGAAATAACATTGGGTTATACTGCAAAAATAATTATGTGGAAAGAAAAGTCGCGCAATATTATGAAGTGTGCAATTAAAAACCTTCTCTTTTTCTCTTTGTGTTTATCGTATAAAGTACACACTTAAAGATAAATCCATTTTTGCTGTGTATAAGACACGTTACTTGTACAGAGACTTATTCGAATAATTTATAACTCAATATCGAATCTCTAACCGATCAAAACGGTTTGTAATAGAGCGCGGTCTTGCACCAGAGTTGTCGTAGATGATTTATGACGCATCCAGAAAGAATAGCAATCGCGAAAAGATGACGATAAAAACAACCTATGTAACAGTAAGAGGGTCACAGCGTATAGATTTATTTTTTAGAGAGGGATAATATATATAGATTTCATATTTTCATATACACATATATATATGTATATACATATATATACATTTTTATTAAGTTTGTGTTGTTTCGGCAGTAGAATCTTCGTGCGATCGCACACATGAGTCACAGATCTCCCATTTACATCACTATTTTATGTCACAGATGTATCTGTGTATGTATGTACATAATATTTATTAACAATTACACACAATGACACACGCATAAGTTACGATAACATATATACGTACAACACAAGACACACATTTATAAAATAATGATTACCGGTTATTGTTATATCGTTAATAGATGATTATATGTTGCGCAAGGTAACAAACTCTCTTTCAAATAAAGTGGTTATTTTATAAAAACATCGCGCATCTCGCACGCATACGCGCACGCACGCACATACACACGTGTTCTTTTTCCAGTATCAATGAATAAATATGCTCGACTGTGCAGATTGCGCGCACGTTGATGGAATACTATATCACTCTCGCTCTTTACGAGTGAGTCATGTCTTCTGTGGTTTCTCTCAGTGCAATTTTAATTCATTACACATAGTATATATAAACAAGGCCGCGTAAATTGTAAAACGTTAACAAGAGCCGCGCGCTCTTTTCTTTAGCAATTTAGATACGAAACTTTCGTTTGTGATTTTCAACGCCAAATCCCCGACTAATTGGCATAAACGCGGTTGAATTGAATGACACAGGTGCACGCACGGCAGATTCTCATTAGTTTTCGCAACTTCGTGCTTTGGAGTGGACCGACGGAGTATTTTCATTGTGCGACGTGTGTGTGTGTGTGGGTGGGTGGGTGTGTATACGTCGTTGGGCAAAAGTGGAACGGCACACAGCGACACAATTGTGGGAACCCTTTCCATTCCATCCTCTCTTTTCAGCGCACTGACAAAATGCACTGACAAAAGCAAAGATATGCCAGATGGAAAAAGAAATAAAGATACGCAAATAAGCGCGCTTTTAATTACAGATTACATTACTTATAACATTTCCGTTTGCAAGACACTTAGCATTTAATATCTCATCGAGAATCAGAGCTCTGTTGTCTCAAAAAAAAAAGCACGCATCTGGTATAAATTAATTTAAATTAAAAGTTTCTTTTTCAAAAATAAAAAGCACTACAGTAACTGTTGCATTTGTGTGATAATGGTATATATTGCGCTGTACATTGTCGTTTTTGCGCGTTTTATATATTTAACAACATAGATATATATATATATACGAGACGCGCAATGAATAATGCAATTTCAAGAGTCCACAGTTGCTTTTTTTTTTTTTTTATCCTACATCTAATTGTGTCATGAGACTTTGCACATGTGCGACTCAAAAGGAGAGAATTGCATAATTTGTGTGTAAGTTTTGCGCCTGCGGCGTGTTTAGTTGTCGCGTGTACGCGTTTCACCTTGGACGTTTGTATTTCATTACCTCGTTATGGGGAAAAAAAAATAGCCTTCTGTGCACGCACGTGTACGTACACATGAATATATACATATACGCACAGAGATAATCGCACGCCCAACAACCGAATAAATTAAACGGAATTGTAGATGCTTGTGCGCACGCGAGCAAGCGACTCCATTACCTTCGCAATAGTTAGACTTTTCCATTATTGTCTACTTAAGTCTCATTATTTTTTTTACCTATTTGCATGTAAAACACTTGTTGCGCCTTGAGTTTATGCTAATGCAACTAACACGAGGAAATTTATTGTAAACAACAATTAGCGTACATATGTATATATAATGTATATTATTATAATTTGATTTATCAACAAACTTACTTTTCAGTCGCAGTCTTTCCAACACTGGGTAGCTACCACACGTAATTTTTGCTCTCAGAATTGATTTCAATCGGAAATTTTCCATCAATGTCGTGGTAATAAAATCAAAATATGTTTATCTATTTTTTAAAATAAAAATCAAGAGGTGAGATAAATTACATCGATAATGTACATCGTTTGAAAGTGGGTGCTTGCTCGACCGTATACTCGGTCGCAGCTGGCGAAACAAAATCAAACCCAATTTTTTGGTATTGGTGCGAAGTGGCTCGGGGTGGACCGCTTCAGGTTGGTCCATGCACCATCCTAAGAAAAACAATTTTTTTATCACAGTCCACCTACAATAAAAACACATATGATGCGAAAAAGAGATTATAACGGTTGCCAATTATCGGGGGTTTTCAAAAGTACCTGCGCTGTCGGTTTTATTTTGCGGTCCACTTGGTAACCGTTGGTAACACTGCAAAGCATCTTTTGATCATTTACGACTGTTCGGAGCAGTTCGAAGGAAGTCGCACGCCTAGGACAATGATCAAGTAATTATTTGCACAGTGTAGCAATTTGTTATTTGCGAGTTTGTTTCGAAGCCTTCACAAGATAAGTAACTTGGCAATCGTTCGAGAAAGTTGCAAACTCAAAACCGTAGAAAAAGAAAAGAGAGGTTAGGTTTGCCCGCCACTGGTGGGTATTTAGGGTTAGAAATATGTCAGACAAAGAATCGAACAACGAGATCCAGATAATATCTGAAAGGTTGCAGACCGTCGCTACTCTCGAGTACAACAACACGCAGCAACAACAGGGAAAGAGTGCGCGGAAAAACAACAATTCCGTGGACATTAAAACGATCAGCGATAACGCGACTATCACCACCACGGAGAACATCTTCGTCAGGAACGTACCCGAACTCAATTTACCCGAGAAGATATTGCTCGTTATCGACACTGTCAAAGAGCAACAATGCACGCCCTTCAAGCTCGGCACGGGCGCAACGTACTCGCCCCTGTTTATGATCAAACGTGTGGTCGAGAACTTTGTCTGCGCCAAGTCCACCATTCAACCCGGTGTGCATCAGTACGCGCTGATGAGTCTGGAAGCGATGGACACGTGCTGGCTTTGCGATTACACCAGCAACATCAAAACTGTGTTCAATTATTTGGAGGGCATAGAGGAGAACACATTGGATGAGGAGCAAAAAACTTACGATCTTGGAAATCTGTTCGAGACGATACACGGGCGAATAGCTATACCGTCCAAACATCAGCCGGCGTTTGTTTCGCGTGTAATCTTGATATATGGACGTTCAAGCTCCGTTCCGAAATTTTATACGAGACAAAAGTACTTGGAGAACTTGACGGAAAATCCGTATTTCTTTTTGGACGTGCTGTTTGTGCACGAACCACCCGGTGACGACGACATATGCGAGAAGGTGTACGCCGAAATCGCAGCTCTGGATACCATGGGTTTTTCTTATATTTTCGAGGTGGGCAGAAACGCCGCCAAGATACACGATAACATGGCGAAATTGTTGGCACATCCGTTGCAGCGACCGCTTCAGAAAGATGCTTCTTACACGTACACCCCACTCGACGTCAAACACTCATGAAATGCATATTGTGTAATTCTCGGCGCATTATTACGCTAATTGTATAATTTTTTCTGTACATTTGTTAGGATATAACTTATTTTTGCAAAGAAATTTGTATTCTTCATGGATTCACTCTCTACTTTGTTGTTATACGTATAGTTTAACATAATATAACAAGAGAGAGAGAGAGAGAGACGATCAGTTGCTTGATCAGTACATCGATTACAATACATAGATACATTTTAAATCTGTGTTTATTTATCAATATATAGATAGAAATAATTTTGTTATATATATATATATATATATTCTTATTAATCTCTCGTCTCGAACTTATACCGCAGAATATAATAAATAAACCTTACTTTTTTTATAAAACACACAAAGCCTCAGAGATATTAACACATGTGAAATGTTAATTTAAGATATATTATTATATCGATCTTTTTATCGCTTGTTTGTATGAAATTTTTTTTTTTTGTTTCTTTTCGCATTCGTATTATTTTAATTTATTTTATTTGTATGATGTTTTACTTTTTTTTTTATATAATACTATAGTTTACAATTGTTTTTGTTTTGTTTTGTTGCTATTCGATCGATTTGATTGCGAATCTTCGTGTTGCAACTCTTTGTTGTTAAATGATCAGACAGTTTGTCTTTACGGGCAAAACTACGTCCGCAGATCTCGCAAGAGAACGGCCTTATTCCGGAGTGCACTCGTTGATGTCTGACAAGATTAGATACGTGAGAGAATTTCTGTTGACACTTGTTACATGTGTAAGGCCGCTCGCCGGTGTGTTTTCTCCGATGTTTGTTGTAATCTCCCGTGTGACTGAATTTCTTCTGACAGAAGTCGCATGTTAATTGGCGTTGTTTGTTTTTTCGCGTTTTACCAACACTTGGGCGATCGTCCAAGCAATCGCCGATGGCAACGCGCGCTTTGCGTGGCGTGGCATCAACATTCTCTTCATCTTTATCGCCAATTTTCACGACTTTTCTGATGTTTTTCGTGGCTTTTATGGAATTTACGTTTTCGTAACGTAACACACAATCGATTGTATCTCGCGCCTTTGTCACAATTTCTAAATTACAAGTACTAGCGTTGGTATTTTGATTAGCTATTGATGAATTTTCAGCTCGAACGTTCTCGGCGATTATTTTTTCTCTCTTTAGCGATAAATTCTTCTTAAAAACCATCTTCGAGTTTAGGAATACAAAGAGAACAAATTGTGTTCAAAACCTAAATATAAACAAACAAGCGGACATTAGTGTTCTTATGAAAAATATATAAATATATTGTGTGTGTGTGTGTGTGTATGTGTGTGTGTGCACGCTCGCGCGTATAGATGCAAACAGCCACAATGTGTGTAAAATATATATTTTCATTACTCGTCTCAAAATTTTTCTACACATTGAAGTTATATTAAAAAAACAATGCACTTCAGTTGGTATATTTTTATGGCTTTTAGAAATCTTATAGATGTACACACCATGTGTGTGCTTTACAAGTTATGTAAAAAATATAAAATATAATAAACGTTAAATATTATAATTATACGACGAACGACTTCAAATAAATTTCTTTGTTATATAAATTTTCTAATATTTGAATTAACCTTCAACATGAACTATTTTCACAGCATTACGTTATCAATATGGTATATGTACATTTATATTAGAAAACGATAATCTAATCTAGAAAACGAATGCACTTACCACAAGTTTCAAGTTCAATTTCTGTAGATGCGTATATGAGCTGTCTCACTTGTGAGCAACGGCGTGCTTTTTGCAACAAAACTGATATATATGTAGAGCGTCGCACATTATCACACACTTTTACACATTATTTCAAAAAACTTAGTTATTACAATATCCATAAGACCACGTATGTAAAGTTCTGATTAGCCAATATAAAACGTCTGTGTGTGTTTCCAATGTATATCCGAATGACATAGCTTGTCATTTTCCCGGTAAAACGACCACGTATATATTATCTTCTCGTGTAATAGAAATATCCAGCGGGGAATACCCGATCAGTGTGGCCGTCGCGCGCTGAACAAATATATATTCGGACACGTAACATAAACACAGACATGTAGAACTATGGAAATATTTGTAAGAAAATGTATATTTTTATTATAAGATAAAGTTTATTTAGCATTTGATATTTTCGCATTTCAAGTACGAAAGTTTATCGAAAGTTATATCGGAATTTTAATCTTATGTATGTTAGAAAGTGTAAGGAAATTATAAATAAACTAATTTTCACAGATTTTAGATTTTATATTGTTACACGAATATTCACACAATATAAATATTTTTCCAGTTACAAATTTATATATATATATATACAAATTTATATATATATATTCATACGTGTTTCGAGTTTCTTATAACACATCTATATACTCTAAATGTTCTAAATTATTCTCTAATGGTGGTTTTTGATCATTGCGCTTCGTAGAGCAATAACTTATATTTTACACACATTCATACATTTAACACGCATACATTTAAACAGAAATAAAAAACTTTATACATGCAATTATTTTTGTAATAACGCGTGGTTACGAGTTGTAAATCTCAAATATTGATTACATTTGAATGTTATGTATATGTATACATATATATGTACATTATATGTACAATACGCAGTCGCACGTTGCAAAGTTTATAATTATTATTATTATTAAGATTGCAATGCTAAGTTGTGGACAGAAATGCGTTATGTGGAACATTGTTGTAAAACAATTTTCAAAACAGACTGTAACTTAAGTGGTCAATATTTTTCCAAGTAACAATTTATATCTCGCTGGTGTTTAAAATCTATCAACTATGTCTCTCTCTATATATCACAGTAAAAGTAAAAAACACTAAATCTATGTAAAATTTTTTACGCGCTACTTTTTTTTATTTATACAAATATTCTTCCAACAAATATATTTCGTCGTGAATCTTAATACTTCCTCTGTTAATACTGACTGTGTCAGTTTTTATATATAACGCTTATTGATCACTTACTCCTTATTGATCACATTTTTACGCTGCGTCGTGCAACAATTGTCATATATATATATCTATTCGGAATATGTATGAAAAAAAAAAAAAAAGAGAAAATAGTTGCCAATTTACGATCAAGTCTTACTGAATAACTCCCACAAATACGGTTCTGGCTCGTTTACATAGACACACGTCTCGTAAATGTCTCATAAAACATGTCTCATAAAATGTTGTACGATACTTACAACAGAAAGAGCAAATACGGTCAGTTCTATACTCGGAGTAAACGATAGCGCGGATGATGCTTGCGATTTAAACAGTTGCTCGAAATACGCCATAGATTTCAGAAATTGCTCTATCTTATTGTCGAGATATCGTTCCCTCTCTGACGCAATTTCGGTCGTCGTTGCAATCGCGGTTTCTTCCGATCTCAATTCCATCTGATCGTCCATTGATTTCCAGTCGCCGCATTTGGGAAAATCGCGAGGAACGGGCAACATATCCTCGTGTTCGCCCACCTTGAAGATCAACGCCATGCCTATCTCCGCGTGAAATTCGATGTGACAATGAAACAGCCAGTATCCTGAACGATCGTACGATTAATTAACACTGTGTCTTCTTTTCGACAAATGACAATTGATGTTTATTTGAAAATTATCTTCTGCGTGGATTACTTACTCGTGCGCTTATAGTTTTAGACCGAATTGTTTAATTTATTTCGAAGTCTCTTACCTGGATTAGCGGCGTAAAATCGCACGATAGTGTAACCACCGTCGGGGACAGTCACCGTGTCCTTTAAAGGTGCTCGTACGAGCTTCCTGACTATCAAACCTTGCCTGTCCAGTTCTTTTACTTCATCGGCGGTGGTGGTGTTCCCTACTTTCTCCATAGCCACGACGCGGAACTGATAACCATGAAGGTGAAACGGATGATTCGCGTCATACGGAACACCTACCGAAATTTGTTTTTTTTTTATTTACGCAAAAATTTGGACAATTAAAAATGTAAATAAAAAAAAAAACACGTTATTTATATATATTGATTTTACCTTCATCGATCAGAACCAGTTCCACCACACTGTTGAGCTTAACTTGGAGCACGTGAGTGCAGGCGCAGTAGTCGTCCTCGCAACCCTCGACCGTGTCGGCGTTACAAAATTGATTCGGCTCGATTCGGTCTCTCTCAGACAGAAGCGGAAACGGCGGCAGCTTCATCGATATGTGATTCAGTTGCGGCGTTAACAACTGCTGTTTCATATTTTTCACTATCAGAAATAACAGAAATATCACGTAAAACAATTTATAAACAATTCGAAAATAAATTCAAATATTTTTTTTTGCGAAACTGTATCTTATAAAATATTATTGCGCAGATAAATTTCTCGATTTAATTTTTTATTTGTTATAATTAATCCAGAGTTCCTAACCTTGGTGAAAGCCGTACAAGTTTTTGCGGTGAAAGTGCGGGTTGTCTTTCTTGTAAAAATCGTACGATATATAAAACTGATAATCTGGTTCTTTAGTGTTCCAAGCGTCGTCGTCATCCGTCGCATTTAACATCGGCATACTGACACTGTCATTTGTTTCGGTTCCCTTATTTAGAGCGTTTACTTGCTGAAAATAAAAAATCGTTGTTAATTTTTTTACATTTTTTGCAAACTACTTACTTGAGGCAACGTTTTTTCTCGGAAGAAACATTCTGAGAAGAAATCGTGAAAATAATGTGTTACGTACCAGTCCTTCTCGCACGTGATCGTACGAAACTTCTGCTTCCGGTTCGTTCTCGGGCGCGCCCTCGTAACGCAATATCGCGACCTGATGGGCGCTCAAGAATCTCTCGTCACAGTCCATCAGTCCACGAAATCGCATCCAATAATTGTCCGCCGGTTGGTTCATCTCGATTATGAAATCAAACCTCTCACCGGCGTAACTCACCAAAGAATCGGCTGTAAAACGCAAACAAAACGCAACAATTTAGTTGTAATTATTATTATTTAGTTGTTTTTTCCGATGTTGAAATTTTTTACATTATTATGTTTTCTCAATGCCATATGGAACGCAACTGATTAAATGGTTTTTTTTTTATGTATAGAAACAGCAGTACGTGTGTGCAAAAAGTGAGATCGTACCTTCAACTGGTTCAACGTCACGTCCATCCGAACTGATCACATGTAAAGTGTGATTATCAACGAAAATTTCAATCGGGCAGTTGAGGAATTCTGCATTAATCAGTCTAAATCTGTATCGAAAGTTCTGCAAACGTAAATCGTAAATGTAAAACAAGTGACTAAATTGATTGAAATATTTTTTAAATTAGAATTTTAATCAGGCGCTTTTTAAGTAGAAGTAACATCTGCATATTGAGAAAAAAAAATAATTTAGACGGTAACCAAACCTAACTCGACACGGATTTGAATAAAAAAAATTACCAAAGAAAATTAAAAATTTAAAAAAATATCTTCCTGTTTTTAAATGTTGCACGAATATTTTTTTTTTTTTTTAGAGTGGAACATACCGGTTTCACTACGAACGTCGTGATAGGCATGTTGGCCAAAGTTTCGTTTTCATCTTGAACATCGAAACGGCCGAGACCGTTTATCAGTAAATTTGGCGACTTGTTGTCGCCGTCCGAGTGATGATGCGCCAAGAATTTGGGAAGACCCAACTCGTGAACCCAATCGGCAACCGTTAGCGTATGTTCGTCGTAATCGTAAAGATCCTTGTGCCAATCGGCTTTCGGGGGAACACGAACAATCAACGGTCCGAACACACCGTCGCCTCTCTGAAATCCTGCAGGTAAAAGTAACGACATTCCAAGTAAATGACGAAACTCAAAGTTAATCTTGCGAAAACACATAGTTTTCTACAAAACTGAATAATTGATAAAAAAAAAAAAATTAATTTAAATTTAGGATCAGTGTTTTAACGATTAATCAGAAAAATATTGTTAACTTATTAAACGTCCTTTGAACATTCTGTTATCGTAAGATGTAAAAAAAAAAATAACAACCAAAAGACTCGCCTATGTGAGAATGCCAAAAATGCGTGCCGGCTTCGGTGGCGATAAAATTGTATCGAAAAGTCGCGCCGGGAGGGATAGGACATTGCGATATGTAAGGTACACCATCCATGTACGGCGTGGTGAGATGATGCTGTCCGTGCCAATGCATCGTGGTGCTCTCCGCGTGCAAGAAATTAATCATATCGACTATTATCCTGTCACCTTGGCATACCTAGAATTCAAATAAATTACAATAATAAAAAATTCCAGCGTTGTGTTTTTTAATTAGCGGTTTGACTCGGTAATCTCGTTTTATCGATGCAGATTGCCTGATAACGATCAGACATCGTTTTTCAGCAAATCAGAAATATGTCATTAAAAAACCACAACACGACCGACTGATTGGTAATATACCGTGACTCAGGTGCACGGTACATTACCTGTGACAGACGATTCTATTTTTACATCTGGTAGCCGTGAAGAGCAATCAGATCTTAGAATCTAGAAGAAGGAAGCGAGCGGAAATACAGTTGCGCGCGAACAATATACTTCTTTCTGATACGTCAGAAAATCAAGTGCTTGTTAAACAACTCGCTACTGAAAGATGTGCTCATTGTGCAGAATAGATCTCGCCGGATCTTGTGTATGAATTAAAAATATATATATATATATATGACGTATATTATTTTTCAGTCATTATAAAATGATAGCCACCAAATAGAAAATAATATTATCATGTGAACAGGGAGATGTCAAAGAATAAATTTGCCTCGAAATTATACTCACCTCAATCGGCGGGCCCGGCAATTGCCGGTTCACAACTAAGATAGATCGTTTTACGCCGTCCGCCGGGACACAATGAGGTCGAAAACAATCTGTGATGTTGAAGGGACATTCATAACACGCTTTGCTCATTGTGTGATAATATTCCAGCTTGAAGGTGTAATAACAGTCTAAAGGCGCCGCACCATCCTCGCACGTTCGCCGGCACGCATGTTCCGTCCAATCGATCATGTCGCAGATTTCAGGATCAATCGGTGCGAGACCGATATCATTGTGCGCCGTTATTATCGTCTCTAAGAAAAAAAAAACGATCATTATATCATATAATGATATATCAATGAAATATTTTTTTAAGCCTGTTAGAGTTTACCTATCGTTTGACTTTTCTTTTTATAACGAGGTGAATTTTTAAGCGAGTTCATGATTTTTGTCGCAATTCGGCAAAATATTCGATATGTTGTTTCTTGCAAATTGAAAAATATCAAAATCCGAAAATCTGAATACGAACTGGAGCTTATTCAAATCGAAATGCATGCGTGATAAAAACAATTTTAAACACGATTTTTGAGTCAATGTTACACAAACACATAAATTACATGTAAGGGCAAGATAAAGATGAAATAGTAAAAGAGTGAGAATTCCATTACACATACCTGAACGGCTTCTACAAATAACTAGAAAAAACAGACTAAATATCAAATTCCAGCTTATCATTCTCGGTCTGTAACAGAAATAATCTAGTTCAGAAAAGATCCGACACGCGTAACATGTAAATTTAGCTCGTTACAGCGTCTTATAAAACAGAATATTTACGAAGATAACAGTTCGATAAAGAGATACATAAATGCAAATAAATTCAAAAAAAGACATTATACACTTCCCACACGTGCGCATTATATAATTAGAATTATAAAACGTCAGCTTTTGATTTTAAAATTTACCTAAGGCTCTGAGCAAACATTCAGTAGAAGATAAGTAATAACCATATGTATAAATCGATTTAATTTGCTACTTCAACAAATATTTAAATTTCTAACTTCAACAAATATTTAAATTTCAGTTTTGTCACATATGATTAAATAAAGAAGCTTTCTACGACATATGATTCTATTCCCAAGTATTTATTTAAAACAATCTTAGATAATTGAAATAATTTTTTTACAAACAATTAATTAAAAAACAATTTTGTTAAAATAAAGTGATGCTCTTTATTTTTATGTTTAAATATATTTTAACTTGAGATTTTTTTTTTTTTTTTTTACTTTTAGGTTTTACTTACAGTTTTATAATTAGAGTGTAATTATATCCCGCTCACGTATTTTCCGTCTCTCGAAATGATATATTTCCTACTCCTGTATAGAGATAATCGGCGGATTTCTTACGCAGATAATGTTTAGAAATAGTAAACCGTACTGAAAAAAAAAAAGAGAGGTATATTTCTTATTTTAACGGAGAACTTATAGTTCTAGGACAAACTAAGCTTCATTTACATGTCACAGTTTCTACTTTGCAATACTGATAAAACAGCATCATATACATATTTATGTCATTATGTTGAAAATGTCACACACACCAATCCTGGTATATATCATTAACGGCAAAGAAAATGAGATTCTTTTCTTGAACAACAGATATTTACTGCGACTAAATAGACGGACTATGGATTTCTTATATTTAACTGTCTTAAACTTTTTCTGGTTTAAACTTTTTTGTTTTTGTGAAAACATTTCTTATCTTTAATTGCGGAAACCAAATTAAATTCCTTTAATTTTTTATTTAAAGAAAAAAACATTAAAATAATTGTTTTTGTGTTATCTTGAATAATGAAGAATAAAGTGTCTCTCTTTAAGATTGTAGTTATATTTTAATATTCGACGAGAGTTGTGCAAATGATCACTTAAATGCGGCAATAAAAAAGCGGTTAATCGACGATCTTTACGGCTAGTTTTTATTCTAAAAGTATTGCGATATATTGCCGCACAGACACGTGTAACATTGTACTTGACAAAGCCGCGCGCAGGTAATCACTAATGTCGAAATGTTTGTATCTCGCAACACGACGCACTTGCATGATATCTTTACAAATTTAGCACAAGTTTCACGCAACGCGCTCCATCGCTGTGACACGAGACACGATGACTCCTGCACACAGGACGCGTCAGAAAAGAAAACGATACGTTCTACGTGCAGAAAGTAATTATCTGCAATAATTATCTTGCGATCGCGCGAAATGAACTAAAATTGTCGCAATCCGAACAAATTTTCTGCATCGTGTATGGATTTTCGATTGCGAGATGTGTTCAAACTTGGAAAATAATCATTTTCACTGCTCAATGCGCACAATTTAATGTACCAACCTGTAACACGATGCAGAACGTGTGTTAATTCGGATGTTCTTGGATGCAATCGAGAATCAAATCACACCACGTGCTCGCACGTTTTTTTTGTTTTTTTATCTTCTGTGACAAAAGCACAAGTTTGCGTTAACGGAACGTTTTACAAGAACGATGTTTTACTTAGAACTGAATCGACTTCGCGCCATTCGCGTCTCTATATAACACAAGAAGTCCCGCGTTGAAGGAATCACTCGTATCCACAGAATAGCCATCAACAGAACACGCCGCTTTACCTGCTGTGGCTGTAATTCGAATATTCCCCACTTGAGCATGTCCGACCAATAAGAGAGTCTCAGTTTTCCGGATGTGAACACGTTCGTCAGTGGACTTTCCACTTGTTACGGGATTTGTTGACCAACAAAGACAGCGAGCTGCAAGAAAAATGTATCCCGAGACAGTTCTCTTTTTTTTTGGGCGTGTTAATTAGTACACAGAGAGAAATAATATCGAACAAATATAATAAAGAAAACGTAATCAGTTTACAAATATCGTTAAAAATCGTAATCTGAAAGTTAAAAAGTCAAGATATATAATTAACTTATTAATTCTTTATGTCATTCTTTTTATGATTGATCAGAGTAAATCGGATGTGAATCGGTATAATTGAAACCGGAAAAAACAAAAGTAATTTATCAAACAAATCAGATAAGATATACTTTTATATATCTCTATTAATCAAAAATGTAATTTATTGATATTTTTGAAATCACGTAATTGCTTAATTGCATAGATGTGCAACAGCATTCGCACAAACGCAGAGAGAATTATGCAACCATTGTGTCTCTCTTTGTTTGAAACCAAACTTTTACCGCGATATGATATACCTTGGAAAATTGCGAACACAAGTGTGAAATAATTGCAAAGAAGAAACAAAACGTTGTGTACATTTAAAAAAAATAAGCAATTAAGATGTATCTGTTTTTTTTTTTAGAATAAATATTAATAAGCTATCAGCAATACTGATTTTACAAGCGCAAATATGTATTGTTACAACAACTAAAAAAAAAAAAACATGGTCAAGTGCAACTTTTTTCTTAATTATACATTTTTTAATTTTTTTTTTTTTGAACGACTCAGACCTCTACATTTTGTCGAATCTAATCTATAAGATCAAATTAATTAAATTTTTTTGACAAATAAAAGACTTACGTCTAAATTTCTCCTTAATTCCATTATTTCTCATTGACTTTTGATTCTTTTTGATTTACTTAATCAGACAAAACTTCAATATTACGTGACATTGCAGTCTTTGCTGCAAATGTCATACGACACGATAATTTGATAACAAAAATATGATAGAGAGAGGGGGGGTAATGTTTGCGAAACTTATCTCGATTAATGAAACGTTCTTTCACGATTTATCGTTCATGGTTCGTCGACATCTTGGCATACGACGTTACATACGCGAATGATGTCGCAACAACGACAACGATGAGAAGAAGAAGAAAAAGAAAAAAAAAAAAAAAGAAAAAGAAAGAAGAAAAGAAGAAGAAAAAGAAGCGTCGTCGAAGAGTACGCGCGGTGAAAACTCATCTATTGCACTTGTTCGTGAATACAAATTGAGTTGTAATAAAATGCCGTTATCTTTGACGGATGTAAACTCAGTCAAACGCAATAAATGGATTTGTTGCAGACTTTTGTGAATTCCACAAAGAATATTGTTTAAACTCATACTCGTCACGTTACAATTTAATTTGCTCGTATCTAATATTGAAACGTAACTTAAGTTTTTTTTTTTTTCAAATGTTTTGGAAAAAAAATTCATTAATTTGTCAATTTTGATATATAGTTAACGCGCATAAATATTTGATGATACACCTTTAAATGTCTGATGTATTGCGATGAAAAAAATGCAGGCAAAATACACGGAAGTGTCGCATTGAATCTTTCATCTCAATGTTTCACGTCATAATTTTTTTCACGCGATGCATTTTACTGATATTATCGATGACGAAATCTGTATGCAACTAATTATTTTAAATACGCGTTTTTCTTTTGTGCACACATTGCGCATCGCGTCATGGGATTAATTTAGCATACGTATTATTTCATTTATTTCTTACGGATTATAATAAAGATAATCGCATAATCTTGTAAGAGATAATTTCAAGGTAAAATTTCCGTTCTCGTGATTGCAAACAAAACTGCATGCGACATTGTGTAGATTGTATCACAAAATTAGCATTTTAAAGATCGATTGAAATCGAAAGGAGCACATCTCATAGGCATCAACTAGCAAATTAATTTTGTTCGACGTGTTTTTTTTAAAGAAAGTAAAAATATCACACTCGCGTCACCGTATGTAGACATCTTTTTTTTGGGGGGCAAATATACACGAAACAGGTTCTGAAGGGAATTCCCGTTCTGTTCAGGCCAACGCGGAACAAAAAAAACCGGTAGTTATTCACGTCAGCAAATGACGTTGATCGCGATCATTTTATATATTAACTTCCTCATTTATTCGTTTACAATCTATAAATAGAATTAACTTTGCAAACTTTTGCTCAAGATCTAAACATCATTTTTCTGCCAATTGTACATCTGATTATTTTGTTTTCAATCGAGAAGATGTATAAAACGCACCTAAAAAAAAAGGAAGAAACAGAGATAAAAGAGAATGTCGGGAAAAAAAGAAAGAGCAAGATATGTTATGTGTATTACGTAATTCAGAACGAATCTCAAGGATCTCATAATGATCACGTAAGGAATAACAACAAATTGATCCACGCAAAATGAAAGAGTCTTGCATACAAGTCGAGTCATAATAAATTATCTACATTATACGAGGCGGTTCTTGCCCAACCAACCGCGCGATGGGCCATGGCCGCAAAATCAAGGGCTATGGAAAGCAGTAGAAGAGAGCAACGTCTTTATAACAATCATGCGAGTATATTTGCAATAGAAATACTTGAGATGAGATCACACAAGAACTATTGAGAATATTTTTCAAATTATTGTTTTTCGTAAAATAAAACATTTTTAAGATCGGAATTGAAATTTAATAATTATTTTTGAAATAATCACTTTTGATCAATTGTTTTATTTATCCACTTGTTACAACAAACAATTAATTTTACGAGAATTTTATTTATCGGAAAAAATCTTTTATACAATAAAAACAAATTCGATATTTAATTATGTACAATAATCATACACGAGAACGTCTCAATATTTCACACGCACGAATAATACGCATAATTATATGTAATCAGATATAACAATTATATGTAATCAGATATCGAATTTGTTCATGAAGAACTTGTTTTTTTCGGAGCAATCTGCAATTATTTATCTCGATGGGAAAGAGAAAGTTCGAAATGTTAACCACATAACACCGATGACATATAAAATATCAATTAAAATTATTGCGTGATAAGTATGACGCAATATCACGCAACGTAATGTAAGAGCGGGGAAATTTGAGCGTTTTGGTATACTTATAATTAAGATAAAATTTATATTGTATATATGTGTGCACATGTGTGTAGAAGCCCCTGAAAGCGGCAAAAAAAATATTGAAGACAACAAGCGCCATCTAGCGATACTTCGCGACGTTAGGTAGCAAAAATGACGTGGGATTACGTAGGATAAAACAGTCATGCAACTGTGATCGAATGTGCAGTAATATGTCGCTCACTTGGAATTCTACAAAAAAGCACAGCGAGCGTGAGAGGTGAGTCAATAATTTTGACTCGATTATGTATTTTAAAAAACTTAACTTGTACTCGTTTGTTATTCCTTCTATTTTCGCGCTTTCTGGCCGCAAAATACAAATACCTGTGCTACCTGACCATAACCTCGTATAATATTCGAACGACAGATCGTGTCTTTGTTGTCAAAACACGAGACTTAGATTTAATTTAGCTCTCTTAGGTCAGATTGTATTGAATGAGTGTTCGATCGAGTGCGCGATTTTTCACAAATCACAATATTCGAGGAGAAAAAAAATACGTTCCTTCGTCGTGTGAAGACGAATAATTAAATGTTAAAAAGATAACTTTTAAGAGGTTAGAAGATCTGTCATCCGTGCGATATCGTGTATACGAAATGAACATGTGGTGTCACATCAGAAGAATAGCGTAAAATTCGAAATAATAAGAATATTAATGCAAGTAATGCTTCAGTTTTTTAGTAAGACTATTTCGACACTTGTAAATTTGTGATTTAGACAACGATGTAAAGCCTAATTGTCTAATGTACCTCTTTATTTCGTAGATGGGTTTGTATTTATCCGATATATCTGAACAGCAAAAGGAGCCTGGCGGATGGACGAAAGTTAGCTAAGGACAAGTGCGTGGAGAATCCGACGCATCAGGAGATACGGGATGTTTTGCTGGCGGCGGGTTTTACCGTCGGCGTTGAGAATAAATTACACCCCAAGGAACGTAGCAAAGAGCCTCTGTATCGCGGTCGTATCCGCGTGCAATTAAAAAATGACGATGGTACACCAGTGCGAGCCGATTATCCAACCAGAGACTCGCTTTTGGAGTACGTTGGCACCACCATTCCGAAGTTGAAAACCCGTCAAGGTAAACAGAGCTCCGGCGAACAAACGTCGCAGCCATCCACGTCGACGTCAAAGAAGGGAAAAGGCAAGGGAAGGAGATAAGAAAGAATTCAAGATCTCTTCAATTATAACACATTTTCACTTTGTTGTAGAAAGTTATTTATATAAAATTAATAAAAAAGAACTTTGGAGTTGCATATTTTACAAAAACAGTTTATTTGGATTTGTCGTTTTTAACTTTGGTTTTGGTTTTTTTTTCATCAACATTGTTGATCTTAGCTACGTTATCATCCGTTTTGGCGGTTGGAATTTTAGTTTGTTTAGGAGTATCTTGCCAGTGAGAAGGGACTATAGAACATGGAACTAATGGCGTGTGAAAAGATGGAGAATAATAGTTCAGAGGATATGGGTTCATCAATGGATTACTGTAAGGAGTATAGTAATATCCAGTATCAGGCTGATAATAATATTGCATTGGCTGATGTGTTGTATTTATGTCAGAAATAGGTGACATCTCTGCGTCATATTGCGAATTATCCGACATAGGATTGCTTGCGGCAACAGTGTCTTGATTCTGAAAGAAATGAATTTTTAACTCGTAATTTTTAGTTAAAAAACAACTCGATTTGACAAGTCAATTATTTATGTTTTGCAAAACGTTGCACTTTACGAGTTCACTTTCAATGATGGATTTCTCAAACCGGATTTGCAAAGAAAACTTTGATTGAACGAATCGTACATCTTTAGGAAAATTTTATATCAATTAGAAATAATTTTGTTACTTACATTTGTACTTCTGACTAAAGCGTTGCGACGATGATGCGCTGGATAATAATGATAATGATGTACGTGATGTCCAAGTAAGTTGTGCAAAATGTGTTTTGGAAGATTCAGCGCTCTTAACAAAGGATTCCGGTGAAGATGGTGAGAGTGGTGGCGAGTGTGATGAGGCACACCCATCAACGTGTCGTACAATCCGTTTGTTGTAGGATAATCGAAGATCGGATGATTCGTGCTGTACGTCTCAACGTCCGGACTCGCGGCTTCTGGTACCACAGACAACGGAGATTTCCATGAATCTCGATAATTGGCGCTAATTATTGGCACGCTGAGAAATTCGCTTTCAGACTTGATATTGTTTTTGTTCACGTCCGAAAACGAATTTATCGCGTGATCGGTGCTATCTTGGGCTATCGTATTGAATGCTTTGACAAAGTGGGAGTGACCAGCCATTGGTCCCCCATTGTTAAAATATTGTGCCACTTTTTCGGCATCTCCTACAAGACAATTCGACGTTTTAACTTCTGGTGTCGATGTCTTTTAAATATTATTTAGAACTATCGTGTCTTTTCTAAGACAATAATTAATCCTTTGCGGACAAGACTCTCTGCGATAAAATTGCTTGGGGCTGCGCCGCCCGCAGACACGCGTTCGCAAAGGGTTAGTTAATGTTTTACAAGTGACAATGAAAGAGAGAGAGAGAGAAAGAGAGACAACTCATATCAATTGCGAAATTTTACGAGTCAGAAAAATATTTTTATATCGTGTACTTCATTTTTATATCGTTCACTTCCAAGCTGATTCATCAATAGAGATCGCGTATAGAAGTTAACATAATTTCTTTGAGGAATATTTAAGTCAAATAAAAAATCACAACACGTGTAAATAAATGATCTTACCCGTTCTGAGACGATGTTTAGATTTTAGAGAACGCACATCTCGTTTTTCATCTGTGAGGTCTTCAGGAAGTATATTCAGATCGACGGTCTCGCTCTCTCTTTGTAAGCGCTTTACACATTCTACATCTAAAAAATTTGTATCGTTAACAATAAAAAATGTAAAATACGTGCTACAATCTGTGAGATTATTAGTTTCGCCAAAATTAAAAAAAAAAAAGACAAATTATCCGCATTAAGTACTTTTAACATCGCTGTCGGGAAAACTGCATTCACAGTAACCGTTTGCAAAAACCGCAGCGGTGTTACATTGTCCGCAAAGAAAGTTGCACGTTTCAACGTCATTTGCATTCAACAGAGTGCCGCAAATTAACGCTGTTAACAGAGACAACATATATTGATTAGATTGTAAGGTACAAAAATAAATTAAATTTTCGGGAACCAATTATTGGAAAAAGAAACAAACAACACAATTTATGGTTTCGCTGTTGACATCATCGAAGTCATTTGCATTGAGATACCGAGTGTGTGTTTTGATAAAAAAAAAATTATAAGAAACTTACTACACAAAATCGATAATTGGAATAGAAAATTATAAATAAAATTATCTTTTATACGTACCGGCGCAGCATAAAACAATAATTAACAACAGATACCGATGAACAGCCATGTCTTTCATCGAGCGAATGTGTGAACGAGATGGAAACTTACTTGAAGTAGTAACTAATAACTTAATTTAAATTAAAGTGTCTACTTTTTTTGACTCACAGATACAAATCGTACGCGATCGCTCGCTGTACTGTCATCATTAGCAGCTGTGTGTCTTTATTTAAAATAGATTATTTCGCACAAAATTTGCTGATCGTTCTTCGAACTGCTGTTTTTGACACCGTTATTGCAATTTCGTGGTTTTATTCGGCTGGATATTTTCAATTGCGTCGCGATCTACATATCAAACGTATGTATAATCATAATTTATCGCTAGTCAGCGATTCAATGGTATTCAAAAGACGATTTTGCAATGTGTAACAATTTTTGCGCGTCTGACACTCTCGTTATCATCTTTATCTTTTATTACTTTTGCGGTTTCGCAAATTTCAACGAATTTATATACGCGATGTTTCATAATTTTGTGTAAAAAAATTGAATTAAAAAGAGACAAAGAACTGCGTCTCTATTGCGAAACTGTAATATTTATGAATTGTGTTTTTCAAAAAAAAAAAAAAAAAAAAAAATAAAAAACAAAAATATAAAAATATAAATTGCATATAAATGTGTGTGTGACACACCGAGATATATTATAATTT